TTCTGATTTTATTTATTTGGGCCCTCTTTTTCTTGATAAGTCTGGCTAAAAGTTTAGCTTTGTTAATCTTCAAAGAACTAGCTTTTAGTTTCATTGATCTTTTCTGTTGTTTTTTAGTCTCTATTTTGTATATTTCTGTTCTGATCTTTATTTTCTTCCTTCTCCTAACTTTGGGTTTGTTTGTTGTTCTTTTTCTAGTTCCCTTAGCTATAAAGTTAGATTATTTATTTGGCATTTTTCTTGTTTTTTTTTTTTGAGGTAGGCCTATATTGCTATAAACTTACCTCTTAGAACTGCTTTTGCTGCATCTTATAGATTTTGGAGTTGTTTCTATTTTCATTTGTCTCCTGTTATTAAAAAAATTTTTTTTTATCCATTTGTTGTTTAGTACTGTGTTGTTTAGTCTCCATGTGTTTGTGTTTCTTTTCATTTTCTTATTGTAATTGATTTCTAGTTTCATTCCATTGTGGTTGAAAAAGATATTTGATATGTTTCCAATCATCTTGAATTTATTAAGACTTGTTTTTTGGCCTAATATGTGATCTACCCTGGCGAATGTTCCATGTGCACTTGAAAATAATGTGTATTCAGCAGTTTTCAGATGAAATGTTCTGTATATTTATCTATTTAGTCCATCTGGTCTAATGTGTTGTTTAAAGCCATTGATTTTTCTGTCTGGATGATCTATCCATTTATGTAAGTGAGGTATTAAAGTCCCCTACTATTACTATATTACTGTTGATTTCTCTCTTTTTGTCTGTTAATATTCACTTTACTTATTTAGGTGCTCCTATATTGGGTGCATTAATATTTATGAATATTATATACTCTTCTTGGATTGACCCTTTATCATTATGTAATGCTGTTTTGTCTTTTGATGCAGTGTTTGTTTTCAGGTTTCTTGTTTGACAAGAGTGTTGTTACTCCAACTTTCTACCTGATGCATTTGCACAGAATCTTTTTCCATCCGTTCACTTTTAGCATCTGTGTGTCTTGATATCTGAACTGACTCTCTTGTAGGCAGCATATAGATGGGTCTTGTTATTTTATCCGTTCAGCCACCCTATGTCTTTTGATTGGAGCATTTAGTCCATTTACATTTAAAGTAATTTTTATAGGTATATACTTAGTGCTCTTTTGTTAATTGTTTTCTGCTTCTTTTTGTAGTTCTCTGTTTTTTCTTCTATTGGTATCTTCCTTTGTGGTTTGATGGTTTTCTTTAGTATTATGTTTGGGTTCCTTTATGTTTAGTTTTCGGCTGTCTATCATAGGTTTTTAGTTTCTTGTTACCATGAAGTTCATATATATTGACCTATGTATGTAACAGTCTACTTCAAAGTCATAGTTGCTTAAATTTGAACACATTTTAAAAGCACAACATTTTTAACCTCCTCATGTTGTGTGTTTTTGATGTCATATTTTGCATCTTTTTTTTTGTATCCCTGAATTAATTCAGTTACTATAGTTATAGTTGATACTGCTGTTTGTATCTTTTAACCTTCATACTACCTTTTTAAGTGGCTGATTTTCTGCCTTTATTATATATTTACCTTTACCAGTGAGATTTTTTTCTGTCATGTTTTCTTATTTCTAGTGACGGTCTTTTTTCTGCTTAAAGAAGACTTAAGGTCTTTTACATTTCTTGTAAGGCTGGTTTAGTAGTAATGAACTCCTTTAGTTTTTAACCATCTGGGAAAGTCTTTATCTTTCCTTAAATTCTGATTGAAAACTTTGTGTTGGGTAGAGTATTCTTACTGTAAGTTTTTCCCTTTCAGTATTTTAAATATATCCTGCTCCTCATTTCTGGTTTACAAAATCTCTGCTGAAAAATCAGGTTATAGTCTCATAGGGTTTCCTTTTTATGTGACTGTTCATTTTTCTTTTGTTGCCTTAAGATTCTCTCTTTAACTGTTGCCATTTTAATTATATGTCTTGGTGTAGATCCTTTGGGTTCTTCTTGTTTGGGACTTTCTGTGCTTCCTGGGCCTGGACAACTGCTTTTTCCCCAAGTTAGGGGAGTTTTCAACCACTCTTTATTCAAATAAATTTTCTGACCCTTTTTCTCTCTTCTCCTTCTGGAACCCCTATAATGCAGTTGTTAGTATGCTTGGTGTTGTTCCAGAGGTCCATTAAACCATCCTCATTTTCAAAAATTCTTTTCTTTTTGCTATTTCTATCTATTCTGCTTATTTCTGTTATTCTGTCATCCAGATTGCTGATCCATTCTTCTCTGTCATCTAACCTCTGCTGCTAATTGCTTCTAGTGTATTTTTTCATTTAATACTGTGTTCTTCAGCTCTAATGATTCTTTCTTATATTTTCTGTTGAAGTTTTCACTGTGTTCCTCCATTCTTCTCCCAAATTTGAGGAGCATCTTTATAACCACTACTTTGAATTCTTTATTGGTAAATTTCTTACCTACATTTCATTAGAGTTTTTTCCTGGTGTTGTATCTTGTTCTTTCATTTGGGATATTTTCTTCTGTCTCCTCATTTTGTTTGACTTTCTGTGTTTGTTTCTAAGAGTAAGTGGAGGAGCTGCCTCTCATGGTCTCGAAGGAGTGGCCTTGTGTAGGAGCATCTGTGTAGACTGTGTGCCTGTCAGCTGGGTAAGGCCACTTGGAGTGGGTGTGGGCTGGGGGCTCCTGGGGCATGCTGCATTGGGGCTGCCTTGGTGGGATGGCTGGAGCTGGGGTGGGCTGGGGGGTCCTAAGGTGCTGTGGCTGCCTTGATAGGATGGCTTGAGTGGGCATGGGCCGGAGGTTCTCGGGCACCTCCCACTGGGGCCACCTTGGTGGGAGAGTTGAATGTGGAGCAGGTGGCTGGAGCTGGTATGGGCTGGGGGTGTGTGTGCTGGGGCAGTTCTAGTAGGTTGGCTAACACTCAGATCCTGCTGCCATCCCTGGGAGTGTAAAAGATGGCACCTGCTGGTGCCTCTAACCCCAGAGAAAGTTCCAGCAGTTCCCTGTCTGTTTGCTGGGTTCTAGGGTTAGTAAATTTTACTTATAGTCTGTTTCACTTATAGTCTAGTTGCCCTTTAAGCCACGTTTTCTTGCTGCCTCCCAGGACAGGCAGATGTGCACGAGGGCCACTCAGTTACATCCCTCCCGGCTGCAGTGTCGGGTTGGGAACCCCATCATTACCATGTCCCCATCTCTCTATTGTTTGTTGTATAGAAGCTGTTCAGTCAGCCCTCAGTTCTTCAGGAGGAACTGCTGTAAATGGAGGTGTAGATTTGGTGTGTCTGTGAGAGGTGAGCTCCGGATCCTCCTCTGCTGCCGTCTTGGACCCCAGCATTCTAATTCCTGCTTTCAGGTGGCGGTCTGGTTGCTGTGTGTGGGATGCACTGTTGGAGCCAGGTTGACACGTTAGGCATTCAGTGCTGTGGTGGGTGACTGAGAATGAATAAAGCATGCATCTTGTATGTGCAGTCAGAATCTCAGGAGATTGCTTCTTATCCATTTTTCAGTGACATTTATTTTTAGGCCCTAGTACTTTCATTGTCATTTTCCAGAGAATGACAGAAGAGAATCTGAAGGTTCTTTTTCTTTCTTTTGTGCTTGAAATAATTTAATAGCTGTTTAGGACAGGCAAGTTCATGCTTTTGGACAATTGTGCCCCCCTTTGCCTTATTCCAGTAAAAGAGATGGAACTTGATAGGGATAAATTCTTTTCAGTCATTGTGTCCATTAGAACATTGGTTTCTATTCCAGGTCTGTTCATATATAAAGTGGTTGAAATAGCAATATTAGATGAAGTATTGTCAGTATCCAAATGACTTTTTAAAAACATTTTGTTTGGACTCTATGTAATATATATATAGTTTTTCATAAAAACCATTTTTGAAGGGATGTTTAAAAACTGAAATATAGTTGATATACAACATTATATTAGTTGCTGGTGTACAGTATAGTAATTTGACAATTACATGCATTATTAAATGCTAGCTGTAATAAGTGTAGTTACCGTCCATCATCATACAAAGATATTGCAGTATTACTGTGTTTCCTATGATGAACTTTCATCCCCATGACTAATTTATTTTATAATTGGGAGTTTGTAGTCTTTATCCTGTTCACCTGTTTCACCCATCTCCTTCCTCTCCTCTTCCATGGCAGCCACCAGTCTGTTCTCTGAGTTTAAGAGTCTGTTTCAAACAGTTTTATTTTTTAGATTCCACATTAAGTGAAATCATATGGTATTTGTCTTTCTCGCTCTGACTTAATTTAGCATAATATCTTCAGGTCCATCCATATTGTTGCAAAGGGCAAGCTTTCCGTCTGTTTTATGGCTGAGTAATATTCCATTGTGTATGTATGTGCTGAATCTTCTCTATCCATTCATCCAGCGATGGACACTTAGGTTGCTTCCATGTCTTGGCTATTGTATATAATGCTTCAGTAAACATAAGGGCACATGTTATCTTTTTGAATCAGTGATTTTATTTTCTTCTCGTAAATTCCCAGAAGTGGAATATATTTTTCAGTTTTTAATATGAAAAATTCCAAGCATAAGTAAAAACAGAACATAGTATGATAAACTCTCATGTGTCCGCATCATTCAGTGTCAACAACAGCTCATGACTAATCTTGTTTCATCTATACATCCAGATGCTCCTCACCACCCTCATACTGTGCATTTTTTTAAAGCAAATTCCAGATAAATCATTTCCTCTGTAATATGTTAGTCTATACTTCTAAAAGGGAAGGCCTTTTCAACCTTACAGTGTTTTGTTTTTTTTTCCCTTTTCTTAGAGCACATGAATAAGTAACCATATATCTGGTTGGTTTGCCTTTGAGAAAAGTGCCAATTTATGCCTGTTTTGTCCCCGTGTATTTATTAATAGTTCCCCTCTTCACTTAAAAAGGAGTGTCTCTATTTGGACATTAAATTCTATAGTTATATACATAAGAGAAGCTTTTTTGTAGTGGACAGTAAGCAAATTCTTTAATAATACCAAGTATTTTTCTAATAGAGTGTTACTTTTCTATTTTCTATCAGGAGACTTAGCCCTGGAACCTGGAGTTCACTGTTCCAAGAAATGGTTTACTGAAGTCTAATGCTGCACGAGTCAGCCAAGGGAAGGACCCTAAAACATACGGTAAGGAGAGAATGAATCAGCTGAGTTGCCTTGATTATTTATGCCATCCTTTTTCCTCCACTGTTTTTTTTCTTTATCATGATTTGATTGTAAGTGCAGAGAATATTACTGCTGAGAACAGAATGAGGGATTCTAACATTTGCATGAGAAGGATAATGCTTTAGGGGTACTCAACCTACATTCTTTGGGATGTTTGGTCAGTCGCTAATTTTCCAAGTTTAGATGATCCAAATTTAGGCTTTTATATGATTAGGATATTTTGTGTTTTTTTTTGTTGTTGCTCTACTTAAGCCTTTTATTAAAATTGTTACTTTTTGTTTTTATTTAAAGAGAGAGAAGACTCCATTAAACCTTTAAGTTTCACGTCGTTAATAAAGGCAGAGGCTAGAGAGAGTGCTTAAGCGTCAGTGAAGTACTGCTTATTTCAAACTACCTCATGCACTATCCTTGCTGTTTGTTTATCTCTTAGGCTAAAGGAAGTTCCATTAGGTCCCGGATTATTTTACATTCTAGATTCTCCCGCAGTTATACTTACCATGTCTTAGACATGTTAAGAGCATGATAAATACTTTTTGGAGGAAATGACTGAAAGGAATTTGGAGTATTCTTTGGCACAGAAAATTGTGAATTGAGGTGTAGATATGCTGAGTGAAAGCAAGTGAAAAGCTTTTATAGCCTGTGATGGTGAAGTTTGGTAGAGCACAGGACTGGGAGTGTTGTTTGAAAACTTACAAAGCCTAAAGTGCCCTCACATCATCTGTCCCTTTTTATAACAACATAATATGTTGTTATCTCCATTTTGGGAGATTAGGAAACACAGGCATAAGGTCTGATAGCAAATCTGTCTCCAAAGGATGAGAAATAATGCCCGTCATTGCTAAGTATAGTGTTCTTTCTAAAAGACCAAGTTACTATTTATATTTAACCAGGAGCACATGATGTCCGCTAACAAGATAAATGAGAAGAAACTAGGAAACACCTTTTGTCTCTACACTACTGCGTCTCCTACTGGGTAGGGATCAAAAGAGTTCTTTTCAACCTTGAATATAACAAATTGAGCTTCTCACAGTCTTTTTTGTTGTTGTTTTAAGTAGTTCAGAAGGCCTTTCATGTTAGGAATGAACATAGCTCCCCAGGCTGGATGGGAAGGTGTCCCTCTTCATCTAAAGATAATGCCTTAGTCTAGAATGACAAATTGTTGCATATCTTTGCCTTCTGTTGAATGTAGGTGCTCATCATTTCCTAGGGCTCTAATGCCGCCTTGTATACACTTAAATAGGAAGAAGGGTGTGTATCTGTGCGGAAAAGCTGAAGCTATTTTTGGACACTTACCCTTACCTGTTTCTTAACACCAAGTAAGATGTCCATACTAAACAAAACTTACACCAGACTTCAAATGCTTTGTGAGATATGCACCAGTGTTCCAACCGTTGTTGTATCTTACAGGCTTAAGCATTTTTTAGAAATGTCCTGGTTTGCAGTAGGAGGGGCAGGGAGGTGGCAGGCATGTTGAACATAATCTCTTTAAGACTGACACGGTTCTTTTTCTTTTTCAGGCCTGATTGTTGTCAATGACTTCAGTAAGAGGCTGGCATTTATTTCTGTTCTAACCAGCCACTTCGTAACTGTGGAGAGTGACTATGCATACTTGTTTGTCAGCAAAACCAAGGAACAAGAGCTATGGCAGTTGACAAAGTCTGTCTGACTCCAGGGTGTTTTTGTTGCGTATCATCTTCAGGAACCGTCTCCATTTCATCTCATCGACAGTGTGGTACCTTTTACCATTTGATAAAGATTAAAGACATGTTCTTTGGTCACCAACCAGAACTTAACATCTGCTGGAATAAGGTCAGAGATTATTTCATTCACAGCTGAGGAAAATGAAATTTCCATTTTATTTGGTGCCTTGTATAGGGAATAGACAAACTCTTACAGAAATGTGTGAGTGAACAGAGATTGAGTTTATTTAACAGAAACTCATGGTTATGGCGAGTGACCCGACGTGATCGGAGGGGGCCGGAGCCGCAGAGGAACTCATGACGGGCTATACCATGTTGCGCAGCGGGGGAGTGGGGAATGGAGGTCAGACGTGTATGCTGCGCTGGTCCAACCGAATCCGGCTCACGTGGCTCAGCTTTACCCTCTTCATCATTCTGGTGTTCTTCCCCCTCATTGCTCACTATTATCTCACCACCCTGGACGAGGCCGATGAGGCGGGCAAGCGGATTTTCGGTCCGCGGGCTGGTAACGAGCTGTGCGAGGTGAAGCACGTGCTGGATCTCTGCCGGATCCGCGAGTCAGTGAGCGAAGAGCTCTTGCAGCTGGAAGCCAAGCGGCAGGAGCTGAACAGTGAGATCGCCAAGCTGAACCTGAAGATTGAAGCCTGTAAGAAGAGTATTGAGAATGCCAAGCAGGACCTGCTGCAGCTCAAGAATGTTATCAGCCAGACGGAGCATTCGTACAAAGAGCTGATGGCTCAAAATCAGCCCAAACTTTCCCTGCCTATCCGATTGCTCCCAGAGAAGGACGACGCTGGCCTCCCTCCCCCAAAGGTCACGCGAGGCTGCCGGCTGCACAGCTGTTTCGACTATTCCCGCTGCCCTCTCACCTCCGGCTTCCCGGTCTACGTTTATGACAGTGACCAGTTTGCCTTTGGCAGCTACCTGGATCCCTTGGTCAAGCAGGCTTTTCAGGCTACAGCACGAGCCAACGTTTATGTCACAGAAAATGCGGACATCGCCTGCCTGTATGTGGCATTAGTGGGAGAGATGCAGGAGCCAGTAGTGCTGCGGCCCGCCGACCTTGAGAAGCAGCTGTATTCTCTACCGCACTGGCGGGCAGATGGACACAACCATGTCGTCGTCAGCCTGTCACGGAAGTCAGGCACGCAGAATTTACTGTACAACGTCAGTACAGGCCGCGCCATGGTGGCCCAGTCCACTTTCTATGCTGCGCAGTACAGACCTGGCTTTGACTTGGTAGTGTCACCACTAGTCCATGCCATGTCGGAGCCCAACTTCATGGAGATCCCGCCACAGGTGCCAGTTAAGCGGAAGTATCTCTTCACCTTCCAGGGTGAGAAGATCGAGTCCCTGAGGTCCAGCCTTCAGGAGGCCCGCTCCTTTGAGGAGGAGATGGAGGGTGACCCACCAGCTGACTATGATGACCGTATCATTGCCACCTTAAAGGCCGTACAGGACAGCAAGCTCGATCAAGTCTCGGTAGAATTTACCTGCAAAAACCAGCCTAAACCCAGCCTGCCTACTGAGTGGGCTCTGTGCGGGGAGCGCGAGGACCGCCTGGCATTGCTGAGGCTCTCCACCTTCGCCCTCATCATCACCCCCGGGGACCCGCGGCTGCTCATCTCGTCTGGGTGCGCGACGCGGCTCTTCGAAGCCCTGGAGGTCGGTGCTGTCCCGGTTGTGCTGGGGGAGCAAGTACAGCTTCCTTACCAGGACATGCTGCAGTGGAATGAGGCGGCCCTGGTGGTGCCTAAGCCGCGCGTCACCGAGGTTCACTTCCTGTTACGAAGTCTCTTGGACAGCGATCTGCTGGCTATGAGGCGGCAGGGCCGCTTTCTCTGGGAGACTTACTTCTCAACTGCTGACAGTATTTTTAACACCGTGCTGGCTATGATTAGGACTCGCATCCAGATTCCAGCTGCTCCCATCCGGGAAGAGGCGGCAGCTGAGATCCCCCATCGTTCAGGCAAGGTGGCTGGGACTGACCCCAACATGGCCGACAATGGGGACCTGGACCTGGGGCCGGTGGAAACCGAGCCGCCTTATGCCTCACCCAAATACCTCCGCAACTTTACTCTGACTGTCACTGACTTTTACCGCAGCTGGAACTCCGCTCCAGGGCCTTTCCATCTTTTCCCCCACACACCCTTTGACCCCGTGTTGCCCTCAGAGGCCAAATTCTTGGGCTCGGGGACTGGATTCCGGCCTATCGGTGGGGGAGCGGGGGGTTCTGGTAAGGAGTTTCAGGCTGCCCTTGGAGGCAACGTTCCACGGGAGCAGTTCACGGTAGTGATGTTGACTTACGAGCGGGAGGAAGTGCTTATGAACTCATTGGAGAGACTGAATGGCCTCCCGTACCTGAACAAGGTAGTGGTGGTCTGGAATTCGCCCAAGCTACCGTCAGAGGACCTTCTGTGGCCTGACATCGGCGTCCCCATCATGGTAATAGAGCAATGAGAAGTTTTTTTTACTCTCAGTCCCTTTCCGTAGACAGACAGACAGACAGACAGACACACACACACACACACACACACACACACACGTGACCAGCAGATTCCACTCCCTGTGACATTTCTCCCTTTGCTTTTTCAGTCCTTTCAGGCCTTGCCAGGTCTGTGTTTGCTGCTCACTTCCTAAGTCTCCTAAGACTCCAAAACTCAGATTGATCCTGGCCCCATGAAGGTTTACAAACCCCCTCACTTACCCGTAGACTCCTGTGTCGCTGCAAAGAAGGAGAGAGGGTGATGGTAAAGCTAACATCTAAGAAGCAGTTAGGACCCAGGCACACCTTGTTTTATTGTACTTCACTGCGGTACACTTTGCAGATACTCTATTCTTTACAAGTTGAAGGTGTGTGGCAACCCTGTGGGAAGTGAGTCTGTAGGCACCATTTTTCCAACACCATTTGTGCACTTCATTTCTCTGTGTCATATTTCGGTAATTTTTGCAGTATTTCAAACATTTTCATTATTTATGATGGTCTGTGATCAGTGATTATAACTTGCTGAAAGCTTGGATGATTGGCATTTTTAGCAATAAAGTGTTTTTAATTAAGGTATGTACATTGTTTTAGACATAATGCTGTTGAAGACTTAATAGACTACAGAATTGTGAAAACAACTTTTATATGCACTGGGAAATCAAAAAATTAATTTGACTCACTTTAGTAGAATATTTGCTTTATTGAGGTGGTCTGGAATTGAGCCCACAATATCTTTGAGGTTTGTCTGTAATTTAGCATGTGAAGAACTTGCAGCAGTATCTGTTATGATTTCTTCATTTATAGCTATGGAAAGTGAGGCTTAGAGAGGTTAATTATTTTGCCCAAGGTCATGATTTAGCACGTAATGGAGGAGCTGAGCTTTTTTAGTATGTCTAATCCCAGAAACTGCAGTTTCAATCGCCCCCTGAAGGACTTAGGAAGACTGTGTCATTCACCAGGATAGTATGGAATTCCTTTGCAGGATGGAGTCGGGAGTTTGGTGTTTGGGAATTGGAGATCCTGAACCTTTTCTGTCGTCTTTTGCAGGTTCTTTCTCATTCTTTGCTCCATCTGTCATGGTTAGGATGTTGTATTTTATAGGAAAAGTAATAGCCAAGTATGCAAGACAAGGCTTTAGTCCTGAGTTCATCCACCTCTTGGCAATCTAGAAGATTTCCCATTTCTCTTAAATGTGAGGCCATGGAGTGAGTTTTAAGCAAACTGCCTACTCGTTGCCCTGTAGCTTAGGCACTTTACAGAGAAAGGTAGCAAAACAGGGCAAAAGGTCTGATGAGCTTATGCATTGCTAGAAGCTTGTTTAAAGAAATCTTTTTTAGGCAGAATTAGTCTGCAAGGGGAATGTTGGTACTAGACCAGTTTTCTAAAAATTTATTTCATCATGTAACTGAGTCATATGAAATATTTTCTAAGCAGCAGCACGTAGGATAGAGCGGTATGAGTTTTAGATTGATAGAGACCTGGGATTAAATAGTAATTTTTGTCATCTTTGATAAGGTCATTAACCTCTTTGACTTCTGGATTACAGAGGAAGGAATTAGGATAATACAATAAGGAATCTGGAGAAATGCCCAGTTGTTGTTTGACTCTTCCTTACCCCTTCGTGCCCACGGACGTGGAAGGCAGTGTGGATAATCTGCCTATGTTACGGGCAGCTTGACCTCTTCACTGAGAGAGGCTTCTGGCATCCTCTCCATCACCTCCCTTTGTATCATGGCTGGGACCGCTTTCTCCTGCACAAATCTTTGTTTTCAATTTTCTCTCTTATTACTGCTGCTAATCTTTTATTTTATTTTATTGAATTTATAGTCTGAGACTCTTCAAAGACTGTGTATGTGTAGGATTTTTAACACTTTTGATCCTAGAATTTATCTTGTATATTAAATGTTGTAAAGGGTGAGATTTCTTTATAGACCTCTTCCTAAATTTCACTTCTTTCTTTCTCAGTTACAACTTTCTGAATGTCACTGAAATAAAAAAAGAAAAACCAAACATTTGTTCTGTGAAAGGTAGATGCTGCTCGAATAGAATAATAAAGCAGCCTTTGTTTGCCATTTTTCCTGAGTTTTCTTTGAATTTGATAGGGATGTAGAGAAGCTGGTGCCACCTCCTTTAACAGTGATTGAAATTCGTCAGAGAACTTACCAGAACTAATCCTTTTTTTAACTCTGGTGGGAAATAAGTAGTTCTCTTTGATTACTAGGCAGCTTATTGCAATAATATAATACCTATTTGGGAAATGCCAGAAACTGTCCAAATGGGGGCTATTTTGAATGGCTTGCTCATATTAGCAATACAAGTTTTTTCTAGTTCTTCTGAAAAAAGAGGAAATAGTTTCAAGCTGGAGAATTTGACTCCATTCTCTATAAATATTTTAATGACTTTCTTTAACAGAGGCAGGGTTTGGGACAGTTGAATTGCTGGCCTCTTGGGCATAGAGCCAACCCTGCCCAGGTATCAGGTAAAAGGGACTAGTAGCAACCTTCTGTGGAAAAATGGCACTGTTATGAGATGTCCCGGTGGTTTTTCCACCTAAGACGCACTTAATGACTTGGGTTGATTCACTTACTCTCTTTACGTCCTTGATTTTTCTTGCCTGTCAACTTCAAAGACTTGCCTATGGCCAGTTAAGAGCTGCTTTCTTACAAGATTCCATGTTTAGGTAGTTCTTCATTTGAATCCAAATTCATTTTTTCTCCTTCACTTGAGCAGCTGTCACTTGCTGAATTGTTGAAATGTTCCCTTGTTCTTGTTAATACCAACAACTACTTACATTCCAATCCCTTAGATTTTAAGGGAGATTTGCTAACTATGGAATCAGATTTATGCTGGTAGCTAATTAAATATTTATGGTGTGAATTGACACTTTGCTAATTAATGTGGATTTGCTAATTGTGCCTGGATTTAGAAGCCAAAGACCTCCTTGATCCTCTAGGAGAAAGGACCCTGTTAGAGTAGTTCTTTTATCATTCATTAGCTCCAGAACTCCTCAGGAACCAAGGTGAAATGTTAACTGAAATTAGTTATTATTTTTTGATCATGCATCCCCTGTGGGATATCTTTGCATAGGTTGGGTTCTAGGAACTATTCCATTGTATTGAGAAGAGAAAGCCAAGGCTCTCATGAATGGTGGTGAACAGAAGAACTAGTGAAGCATCCTCAGGAGCCTTGCACATGAAACAAGAAAAATAAATATTCGTAAACATTGCTTCTGACTTGGTTGTTGTAGGTTGTTGAGTTTTTGGCATAGAAAACTAGGTTAAATACAAAGGAGTTTCAGTATATCGATTGTTTTATACTTGGATAGATAAACTTCTCAGTTTTAATTCCCTATTTTGAGAATAAAATGGACAGGACCAAATTAGGTCCTATTTCCTACTCATTTGTTCTTCATTCATTCATGAAACATTTGCTGAACATCTCCTATATACCAGGGACTGTGCTCTATACATTATGGTTAATGTCATGCCAGTAATTTATGATTTAAAGGTTGGTCTTCACGTTCACAAATTACTAAGGTGTAATCATAAGGCATGAAAGAAAGAACAGCCAATGTTGAGGAAGGAGGGAATTTTGTTTTAATTTGGAACAAAACATCACAAAAATAAGAATGTTTCCTAACTACTTCTGGTTGACTCACTTCTTTCACATTCTGCATGTCTCAGCCTCTCGGGCCAGTGCTGGTGTGCATGTCTGCATTACAAATCCTTGAGTCTTTCTGTCCGTATTTGATGCTAGGTGGATAATCGTTGTTTTGCTGAGCTTTAGCCACTAAGCACTAGAACTTTGAAGCAAAACTGTTGGAAGAAAAATTTCACTCTTCACTTCCCTTTCCCCCCTTAATTTTAGTTTGTATTTACAAAGTTTGTAAGGGCAGAAATCTCTTTTTGGCTGTGGGGAAAAGGTGATTGTCCTTAAATAATGAACTATAGTTAACTATTTGAAGTTTGCTTTTCTGTCTTCTGGTGGTTGACTTTAAGTCAGGGTGTCAACAATGGCACCAGTGACACTTTTGGGGGGACAGGTCATTGTGGGGTGCTGTCTGCACTGTAAGGTTTAGCATCCCTGGCCTCTATCCACTAAGTGCAAATAGCACATTCTCCTTCCCCTTGTTGTGACAACCAAAAATGTCCACAGTCATTGTCAAATGTCCCTTGGGGACAAAAATCACTCCTAGTTGAGAATCGTACCACTCTCAATCCTTAAGCAGACTTATTGACAACAGTTATATGTAGGCTAACCACAGATAAGCTGCTGCGGTACTTGGTGTATTTCTGTGAATCCTTAAAAGCTTTTCTTTCTTCTGATGGCTGATGCTTCAGTTCCCTAATCTGAGAATCTTGCTGACATCCGTATCGGAGGAGTTATGCCGGGATGAGCAGAGGTGGAATGTACACTATCTTCCTGGAATCCATAGAAGCTGACCTTAGTGGACTTGGCCTCTGATGGGTGTTCATAAACCTGCTCAAAAACTGGATATGAAGTCTAGGCCAAAACACATGTGCCATTAGACCTTCAGTTCTAAGTCTTCCAAGGGATAAGCAGGTCATCTCGATGTGATTTACTTTGTAAATTGGACAAAATTTTGGATATACGGTATGTATCAAATCATGATCACTTTAGGGTTTGTTATTGTTTCTTGTTTTTAGATTAAGAAGTTGTTAATAGGATTGTCGAGTTGGGCTGATGAACGACTTCAGTTTTTGCATGAAACATGGTGCTATGTTGATTTAGTGGAGAGGTTACTTGCTTTCCCACGTCCAGTAAGTGGTGGAATTGAAATCTGAACTCAAGCTCTCCCGACTCCAGAGCCATGCTTTTTCCTCTGTACCAGTGCCTCACAAAGCTTCACAGGCATAGGATCACCTGGGGACCTTTCTTCTGATGGTCCCCAGGTTGTTAAAGTGCAGGTTCCAATGTGGTAGGTTTGGGGTGGGCCTGCGGTTCTGCATTTCCAGCCGCGTCCCAGGCCGTTGCTCGCCTTGTGGGTCGTTGGGTCACACTTTGAGCTCTGTGCTGTGTTCCTGCATCACTGCTTTTGCTGTAAATAATTCTCCTGTTCTTAACTCACAGAATTGGTGATCTATAATCAAATATTCAAGGATTGGATTTTTCAGTTATTTTTTCCTCATTGTAAACTCCGTGTACTCAGTGCTGGATTTTAAGCTCCGTGGAGGTTGTAAGCTCCGTGGATTCACTGCTGGAGCTGCAGGCGAGCCCCGTCCACCTGAACCGGCAGGGTTGCAGTTCTGTATCAGTGAAAGCTAGGCATGTTAGGGAAGGAAAATGAATGGCCCAAGAGTCATTTGGAGGTGGTCCAGTGAATGGCCTCTGTGGTCCATTGATTCTCCCGTGCACATTACATCGTAACATCTCTGAAATCGGGTGCTTTCAAGGTGGCCGGCGTTTGACCTCTGCGGAGGCTGGTATGTGGCTTCGGCTGCCTCTGGCCTCCCTCCTGCACCCTGGGGAGGGAGCCTGGCAGCCACGACTGTGAGTAGCGGTCTCCCCCTCGTTGCTCCTCACCCCTCCCTGCTCCAGGCCTCAGGCCTTGGTTCTGTTGCTGCTGAACCTGGGCCTGGGAGTCCTAGGCGACAAGCCTGGGGGTTTTTACACTGGGCAGTGCCCTGCAGGGCAAGCTGGCTGGCTGTGCCTGCTGCCCGACTCTGACGTCTGTCCTCTGGCAGCAAATCTCTTACAGCCCCTTCCCTGTCTTGACTTGGGAGGAACCCCTCTGGGGCTGAGGCAGAGTCTTGAAAAGCTCTTTAATAAAGTAAATATTCTAAGTGAAAACCTACTGCATGTGCTTTCTTATCTGGCAGCGTTTTTCTTTCTTGGTGGCATACAAATTAATAAGGCATTTTCCATGGGGCCTTAGTTCCATGAGATTTATGAATTTAATGTAAGTTTAGCAGAGAAAGACTGTTTTGGAGCTAGAAGGTACGAGTTAGAGTCTAGCTGTGCCCCTTGCCTGTTGTGCGTGGATAGAGTGAGAGCTGGACTCTGACCTCCAAGCCCTTCTAGTTCTGAACTAGCTGGATTCTGAGTGTGCTGGAATGAATGAGTTGAAGTGTGAGGATTCCGCTCTGAGAACAAAGAAGTGATTAATTGTGGCAAGGAGAAGAGTGACAGGAGGCACCTGAGCTGGGTCTCCAGGGGCAGAATAATTTTGGTAGAAGAATAGGAGAAAGAGTATTTTAAGCTGAAGAGACAATATTTGAGATCATAGGGGTACCTGTGAAATCATAACTTGTAATAAACTTCTAGATAAACTTTTGTAGACTTTTAGACCCTGGATATAATTACATTCATCCCACTCGGGAGGGGTTATTGTCGATACAAGTAACATATTCTGTTGAAAGTAAGATGACCCTTCTTGGATTTCTAAAAAGATGATTCCTCAAGAGGTTCTCTGTGGTTTTTGAGACTGAAATGGTGGTTCTTCATTGGTTGACTTAATTAGGTATAGAAAGTGTAAAAATAAAATGAGCTGTCAAAGTCCTGAGTGTGGGTATCCTCATTTATTTCAGTAGGAGGCGAGGTGAATAACAGAGCCCCACCTCCAGTGTGGTAAACTGTGCTTATCTGAGATGTGATTTCAATAAAATCCTTTTATTACAGTGTAGTTCTCTTTGGGTACTAATCTTTGTTTCAGGAAGAAAATACTTCACGATGTGGGTCACTTTGGATAGAGATTCTCTGTGTTGGGATTTGCTGTGGACACAGAAGCTGTTAGTTTTATGTAATTTGTGCAGCTTGAAGGAAAAAGTGTTTGCATGTGTCGTCAGCGCTGCGGGTAGGGACTGCAAAGGTGAAGTAATTAACTCGACTGGGCATGCTGCCTGTGTTTATATGGTGAAAAAGGACATAAAATTGGGGGTCAAGAGTGACGGACTCAAGGCATTTGTGAGTTTAGTTTTAAAGTTTATGAGCAAATGGGGGTTCCAGAGCTGGGAATCATACTCTCAGTTCTCCTCTGCCACCTTGTGTTCTCGTGGGAAGGCTTTTTGTAATTTCCTTGAACTGCGTTTATCACATACGTAAAATAATCCTCAGCTTTAGTGTGTTCCGCAAGAGGATCAGTCCACAAAATGAGTAAAGCTTAAAATGTGAAATCCTTATACATTTGCTGAATTCTAAGGCAGTTGTTATTCCTGAAAGGCAAATGCTAGATTTTATAAAGAGTAGGCAACCAGGCAACATGGTTCAGTGAGTTTAGCCACAGATTCGCCTTTGACCTGAAGGCGGTTTTGGCTTTGTGTTTGATGATGCAACTCTGACCGTCAGTGTGTTTCCTTCCCCCTTCCAGGTGGTCCGGACTGAGAAGAACAGTCTGAACAATCGATTCCTGCCCTGGGATGAAATCGAGACCGAGGCCGTCCTGTCTATTGATGATGATGCTCACCTCCGCCACGATGAAATCATGTTTGGGTTTCGGTGAGGAGCTGATTTTCCCATCAAGAAGCTGTTTCTTCTGCAAGTGACAGGAAGCCGACTCAGACCTGGCTTAGGCAGCACGCCGGATTTCTCGGCTCACGGGAACTGAGAAATCTGCAGACGTAGTAGGGCTGACCTGAGATACAGCGGGTCCAAGGTCTTAGACAGCGTTGGAAGCGCCATTTCTCTTCATCTCAAGGCTCTGCTTGGCTTTGTGTCGCCTTCGCTGCCCGATGGGCTCTTCCTCGGAGGCCAGGGAGAAGGAATTCTGCAATGGGCCAGGATAGGGCTCCTGTGAGCCACGCTGCCACTGCCTCACTGGAGGCTGGCTGGTCCCCTAAAGAAAGCAGGAGGTTTCTGTGTTTGAGGAATGAGAGTGTGGCTATGTTGGGGTGATGCAGCAGTGCCAGAATCCTGGGGCCTGAAAGATTTAGGGAGCGATGGAGTTGGATGCAGAGATCCATGAGGAAAAAAGGGGAGGGGAAGGAGGTGCTTGTGATGATAAATGCGTGGCACTTGTCGCACCTGTCCTGTGTGCCAGAGCGGGGCTCAGCGCTTTGTCTCATTGATTCTCCCAAGACTTGATGATGTGGGGAGGGGCCCTCTCCATTTGTACACAGGACTAAATTGAGATTCAAGAGAACGAAACCATGAAGTTAGAAAGTAAGTGGCAGACCTGGAAATCAAATGCAGGTTTGTCTGACTCCAGAACTTCCACCCAACTACTGTACTGTTTTCTTGAATCTTAGGAGTTCTTAGTGGAGCTTATTCCCCCATGACGGAATAGTACAGTAAAGGGATGGAGGAGGTCAGGGATACTCAGAGTGTGTCATGGGCTGTGACGCTGGCCCACGGACAGTTTATCTCCTGTCCACACAAGGAGGTAGGTGCAAAAATTGAGGATAAGCATTGAGAAACTTTTAAATAATTTGACATTTACCGTGACATCCAAGCGTGTGATCATTTTTCCTGCAATCCAGTTTTGGGTAACATTTATTGAATATAACTTATACATCATACAGTTCACTCACTTAAGCATGCTATTCAGTGGTTTTTAGTATATTTACGGATTTGTACAACCTTAACCACAATCTTTTAGAAGTCTTCATTGCCACAAGAAGAAACCTTGTACCCACTCCCTAGTTCTCCTGAACCTCTTTAAGCCCTAGGCAACTTTTAATCTACTTTGTGTCTTTATAAATTTGCCTCTTGTGGACATTTCACATAAATGGTACTGGATACTATGGGCCCTTCTTTCACTTAACATAGGGTTTTCAGGGTTCATCCACCTTATAGCCTGTGTCAGTACTTAATGTGTTTGTGTGGATATAAATACATTTTGTTGATTCATTTAACTGTTGACAGACGTTTGGGTCATTTTTATTTCTTGGCTCTTGTGAATTAGTGCTGCCATGAACATTCATGTACAAGTTTTTGTATGAACATTTCCTTTCTTTTCGATGTACACCTTGGAGCAGGACTGCTGGGTTTTATGGTCCTTTGTTTATCATTTTGAGGGATTTCTCCACTGTTTTTCAGAGTGGCTGTACCACTTTATACTGTCACCAGCAGTATGTTAAAATTCCATTTTCTCCACATCCTATGAATACTTGCTATTTTCCATTTTTTATTTATAGCCATCCTACTGGGTATGCAGTGGTATTTCAGTTTTGACTTCCATTTCCCTGATGACTAATGATGTCCAACATCTTTTCATGTGCATAGCAACCCTTTGTATATCTTCTCTGGAGAAAAGTCTATTCAGATGCTTTTGCCATTGTTATTTGGGTTATTTGCCTTTTTCTTGGGTTAATAGAGTCGTTGCCTCTGGTTATGGAACTGGGGAGTCATCTCTGGCTGTACTTCCTGGCCTTTTATCACCTCAGCCTTTTCTCATTTGTTCGGGCGCCCTTCGGCCTAAAAGCTTTGCCGTGTCTCCCCAGTTTGCTTATTTCACCTGAAGGAGGATGAAACAGACACTTTGGCAAAAGATAATATGGATCTCAGCTACCTTCAGCTTATGTACCAAAGAAAGAGGCAGATGTGTTCTTGAGACAGTTAAACAGAAGGGACCCGGAGAGCTGAAAACTTATGTCCATACAGAAGCAGTACATAAGTGTTCATAGCATTATTTATGGTAGCAAGTTTAAACAGCACAAAGGGTATGTACTGTATGATTCCACTTATATGAGGCACCCAGAGCAGTCAGATTCACAGGGACAGGGAGCCAGGGCCTGGAGGAGGGCAGGAATGGAGAGTTTGTGTTTGGTGGGGACAGAGTTTCAGGTGGGGAAGATGAAAAAGTTCTGGAGATGGATGGTGGTGATGGTCATACAACCATGTGAATGCACTTATTGCCACTGAATTCTACACTTAAAAATGGTTAAAATAGTAAATTTTATATTATAGTTTGCCACACACAAAAAAATCAGTTGTCAAAGAAACAAAAAAGAAGTATAAACAACCTGAAAGCCCATTAACTGATGAATGGATACATAAAAGGTGGTGTATCTGTAGAGTGGAAGGTTATTTAGCAATATAAAAAGGAATGAAGTCCTGACCCAGGCTGTGGCATGGGTGAACCTTGAAAACAGATTAAGTGAAAGAAGCCAGTCACAAAAGGCCACATAATGTATGATTCTGTTTATGTGAAATGTCCACAGTAGGCAAATACATGGAGACGGAAAGTAGATTAGTCGTTGTCATGGGCTGGGGAGAGGAGGAAATGGGGAGTGAGATTAGGGGGTTTCTTTTTGGGGTAACAAAAATATTCTGAAATTTGATAGTGGTGATGGTTTCGGGGCTCTGTGAATATACTAAAACTCAGTGAGTCATATACTTTCAAGTGAGTGAATTTTGTGGTATGTGGTTTGTATGTCAATAAACGGTATTTTAAAAAAAAGAAGGAAAGAAGGTGTGTAAGGTTAAGAGGAGGTGAGCGATTGTGGGGCGGAAAGTGGGTTTCCCTTCCTGGATCCAAGTATTTGTCTTGTCTTGGGCCCAGAACTTTTGATAATTCCACAGTTGGATCTGATGTTCTTTCTCTCTACATTTCATGGATCTTTTTCTCCACCTTTACCTCCAGATCCACAACTGGATCCTTTTCTCCATATTTCATGGCTCTGCTTTATGAGTTTTCTTTTCCAAAGGGAACTCACCCAAACCTTTTCCCTTTAACATGACTTGGTATATGTTTTTTAATATTCTAGTTTGGAGAGGAAGAAAAGGCTTACATACCAATAAGAAACATGGAGTCTGGAAAGCAAAATCTCTTAAAAAATATTTCTTACAAAATGTTTTTGGTTATTAGTTGATTTTACACTGTATTTTCTTACTGCATTTCACATCGTTGGGTTCTTAAGGAACCAGAGGGGGGGAGAAACATGAAGTATAACCAACAAGGGTAAGAACGTCTCTTTGTATGTAGGGTAAAGCCCATGTGACTTTAATATACTGTACTATCTAAAGTATCTACTGATCTTTATTCAAAACCATTTTGCCTAAGTTTTGAAGATCAGAAAACCACTTTTAAGTTAAACATTTATAGTAATGACCTTTCACTTCATCCAGGTAACTCATTAAAGAATTGATTTGAGTTTCACAAACTTGCATAAAATATGTCATCTTTATTTAAAATATATAGTGTTTGGACTGTCAGTAGTCCAAACTACTTTGGACTTTCATTTTCTTTCTTTCTTTTTTTTTTACTTAACTGACAGCACTAATGTGGAAGTGCTGTGGTAAATGATGTGCCGAAGTTCATACCATGAGGAGGTTGAATTGATGCACTTATTTTCAAAGGTGCTAGTATTTAAATTTGAAATGTTAACAGAGGAGTATTTCTCATGACTCAGATCCTTCAGTGGAATACTATCTTGATTTCATTTTTTAAAGTTTCTCTGTTATTGTTTGGCAAAGTTGAATTTGCCCAGTGAATTATTTTGAAGTTTGAGCTATGAAATTACCTTTGAAAGTTTTTTCCTATCATAATGCATAGGTAATTAAAACATTAACACGTTTAAAGAATAGTTCCTTAAAGGTAAGGTATACCAAAGCATGATCTATGATACAGCACATGGGTTAAAAATAGGGCAGCCTAAGTTTGAATATGATGCCAGGCAACTGATTATGTACAACACTTCTATGTGTAAATTTGTAGTATTACTTATAGTTGGTATTTTTAAGTGCCTAACTTTCAAATACCCACTGAGACCACACTATCTAAAACTCCTGATGCATTGTCCCAGGGTTTTTTTTAAGTTAAGCCTTTATTTGAGGTCAGCTTGTACTAGTGCCGCCACCTTGTTTTTTCCCTTATTAAGTAATTTACATCCAGTGGAGCTATTAACAAATTGAATATGCTACGTTTTGATATCACGTAGCAAATGAGATTCTGCCTTATTAAGAACTGTCTGCATTATATTGGCTTCAATCAGCCAGATCAGATGATTGAAATATGCATTTTCCTATTCTTTCTTCTATCGCTATTTCAGGGATGGTAGGAGCAATAGGCATTTGAAGGGATCTTTATCTTAGGAGTGTTGATATAACATTTGGATATGCCAGTGGTATTTTTAAGCAATTCTAACATTCTATGAATGTCAAGCTATATTATGAAAATATCTTATAGCTTTTAGGTTAGTAATTTGGAGTCAATTTTAGAAGATAAATTAGGGTAGAGTTGGGATTTGGGTAGGAGGTGGCAGAAAGCCCATCCAGAAGGCTGATGTTGTGATGGAAGCTGTGGTTTCTCGTCCCTTGGGCTGGATCACTTGCTTTCGAACTTAACCGGAGAGGAATTCTTTTGAAATTAAGTCTTACGTGTTTTAGGAATTGAGGTTCCATGTAAGTGACGAGAGAGTTTCTCAGGCAGTTTAAGTCTCTGCTTGGGGGTGAGTGGAGCAGGGAGGTGACAGCCCGTTGTTTACGGGAAGCCCTGCTGCAGGGTGCAGGGCTTTCTGTGACCCTGGGGAACTGATTTTGTGTGTTCTACCTTACCTATAAATTTGGGGATGATAGAGTTTATCCTGGAAACATTTTGAAATTCTCTATTTATTGCATTTGTGAACTCTTTTGTTTATATGGCCCTGTGGACCACTTCTTTTCAGTGGTGCGGGTTCCTGCCTCAGCTCTGCTCAGATCAGGAATCAAGACTGTGGCACCGTAACTCCGTGCAACAGTCTGGGTCTCCAGCTTTTTTCTCTAAGTAAAAAGAAAAGTGTGCAATGTATATAATTATATATGCGTCCTACTGTAATATATGGTCATTAAAAACAAAACTTCTTTAAACAAATTAAATATTAAAAATGAATATAAATACAAATTGTTATCTTCTTCCTGCTTCTCAGCAGATCGCTGACCATACCCCATTCTGGAGACCTTTAACTTAGCTCCATCCTGTGTTGTTCCAGCTTGTTCTTTCTGTAAGGCCTGGAGAGGTACTGACTGCCAGAAATTAGATGAATAATAAGCAGGTGCTTATTAAGAAAGCTATGTGAGACACTGGTTATTTGTTTTATCCCGTTTGACTTGTTACTGGTTTTGTTATTTAAAAAAGGAAAAAAATTAACACAGCCTGAGTGCCCAAGTCTGCAAAATAGAGGCCATCATTTAAAGTGTTTCTGATAATCTCAGAGCTTTATACTGAGGTGTGCATGTACTTGTGTTTTTTAAGGGTGTGGCGGGAAGCACGGGACCGCATTGTTGGGTTCCCTGGCCGTTACCATGCGTGGGACATCCCTCACCAGTCCTGGCTGTACAACTCCAACTACTCCTGTGAGCTGTCCATGGTGCTGACAGGTGCTGCCTTCTTTCATAAGGTAAGGAGAAGCTTGGTAAGATTGGCATTGCATTTCTATTGGATTGTGCTGCTCTATACCTTCCCTCCCAAGTCCTTCCTCTGGGCTCTGAAGACTCCCTGTCGTGAGCTGGCCAAATCGCCTACACCTCCCGCTTGACAGAATCCCTCCTCTGTCTGCTTGACCTGACGGAGACCTGACTTTTTCTTGAGGACAGGGCTTCCCTTGTAGCCTGTTTCTGTATTTCTCCCAGAGACAGTACTGGAGGCTGCTCGTTTCCCCACATTTGTACTTTGGAGCAGAAAGGTGTCCAGAACCATTTTCATTGCTTACCAGTTATTCTTCCGGATGGCCGCTTCTCAGTTGTCATATAAAGTGCCATTTGAGGCGCCTGGCATCTGTCTTGTTGCTGCCATCTACCAACCTTCTAATCATGCCTTCCCGGCCATCAGAGTCATTGGAACCTGCCCATCATCCTGATCTCCACCTGTGCCCTCCGTCATTCTGGAGCCGGCGCCAGCCGGCTGGAGCTGCCTCACCACAGCTCCCTGGGGAGGGCCATGTGTGTGCTTATCTGCCCTGTGACTATTTTCTTATGCCCATTTCTTTCTACTGTTACTTATGTATTTGGCCCTTGAAAGCAGTTAAGTTGGTCACCCTAATCTAAACAAGTTTTTTTATTATAAGTGCCCATCAATAAAAAGTTTTAAGCCTATAAAACACAAATATGTATATTTATAAATTTATAATATATTTATAAATTGATATAGTTATCTAAATTGTTTATAAATAAACATAAATTGCTTATAGAAATTTTTATAAGATTTTGAGATAAAGATGACATAAAACTTCAAAATATTCTCACTAAATTCTTAAATTTTAGTGAAAGTAATATGATTGAGTAGATTTTTTTTTTTTTGAAATCTTGATTTGATGCTGTCTGTTATGCAAGTCAGAGGTCTGTTTCTAAATTAAGCACATTCTGATACTGGTTTTTAACCACTGGCCCAGGGAGAAATACCTTATTGCTGTGCTTACCAAGTCATGATACTCATGTACCAACTTGGTAGCATTTTCAAATTGGACTAGAATTTTCATCTGCTAAGATGTCATTCAGTTTTTTTAGCAAACCAATGAGAAGTGGTCCTTTTTTTAGAGTAGCTTCTAAATCCATTGAAACTTTTCATTCAGGAGATTTTTAAACAGGTTACAAGTTTTTCTGTTTTTAAAATGTACACATGTGAAAGTTTTTGTAATAAAATTTTCCTAAGTAATTTTTGGCACCAAAATCACATAGTGGTGGAAATTCTTCTAAATATTTGTTTTCATAATGCTTTCTCCATGTTTTTTTGCAGACATTTTTTTCTTTCTTGTTATCATGTCACCTTTCTCTTGATGAAGATTAATTATGTTTAATTAATAAATGTGTTCTCATTAGCATACTAATGACAGCCACTGGCCATTTAAGGAATCAGTAAGTGTTCATCACCTGTCTTTTGTGAAAGAAGAATGTACAGGTCATTCTTTAAGCTGACCGTCTCCTAAGTACTTTGCCACAAGATGGACAGCAAACCACTGTGTGGTATGAAAGTTTTAGGATCATTATTTCACTATGCAGATTCTACTATTTAAGGTAATGAAACATATAAGTCAGTTTTTATTGGGCACCTCCCCTATTCATTCATCAGCATATTTGCAACACTAGACAGTTCACATGTACCCTGCTTTAGAGCATTTGCCCATTTCGGTTGTGTAAATATTCTCTACCCGTAGCCGATTTCCAGTTGTGACACAAGTCAGTGAACATGGAGATGGGAAGAGGTGGGCAAGTTGTGCCCCATTATGTAATATTTTCACCACACAGATATGATGGACATAAATAACCTGATGGTAACAGTAAAATGTAATAAATAGTAGTAAATTATAACTAAGAAGTGATATGCTTTAGATATTTATTGGTTTTTAATATAATTAAATTTTACATTTATATAATTATATCTTTATTTATTGTGCTAACAAGCTCACAGAATTCCTAAGTGGTCTCACAAAATTCCTGAAAATGTCTCATTTGACATTCATCAGCAGGTATGAGCTGGCTTTGTCACACCACTTTTTGGGCCTTGCAGGACATCTTAAGAATTTAGGCTTTTTCTCTGAGTGTGATGAGATGCCGTGGAGGGCTTGGAGCAAGGGAATGTCATGTGCAACCGGATGTGTTGAGAATGGACTGTGGGCAAAAAAATATGGCAGCAGGGAGACTATTCAGGAGACTATCTGAATAATCCAGGCAAGAGATGATGGTGACTTGGAGCAGGGAGTAGCCAGGGGCCATGCTAAGGAGTGAGTGGTCAGGTCGTAGGATCGGTACGTGAGGCACTGAGGGATTGAATGTTTCTTGGTGCAGTGAGGTATTGAGTCCTAGAAGATAAGCATGCTTTACCCCTACTTATCCATTACTGCAATTGTCTGATATAGACTGTTGTTTAGCTGAACCAGTGTCAGACCTGATGTGATGAATCTATATTGTTGCAACATCATGGAAGTACCAGGGAGATTAAATGAAATTCTGATTCTCAGAGCGGGTGATAATGGCGGTTTGGATGGGCTAATTCTTCACTGCGGAAGATGCACCTTGCAGGATGGTTAGCATCTCCGGCCCGCACTCCTTACATGCCACCAGAGCTTCCCAGTGATTGCCATACCCCTTGCCCCACCCCGCCAACACTTCTGAACAGCCCCTAGACCCACACCCATTTCTGCTGGAAGCCAGAGCACTGTGGCATCTCACGGAGTGTGTGTTTCTTGTTCTACCCCAACAGTATTACGCCTACCTGTATTCTTACGTGATGCCCCAGGCCATCCGAGACATGGTGGATGAATACATCAACTGTGAGGACATTGCCATGAACTTCCTTGTCTCCCACATCACCCGGAAGCCCCCCATCAAGGTGAGGACCGTGCCTGCCGGGATGGGTGGGCACGCATGCTTAGCTCCCTGACGTTGCAGTGGGGTGGCACTCACCAGGCCCCAGGGTCCTCCTCTCTGAAATGGGGTAATGATACTGCCGACCCGAGAGGACTGTCTTAGGGCCAGGTTAGTTGCTAATACTCCCAAGGCATGAATAGATAGAATTCAGAGGGTTTGGACCTTGGATGGGAAAAATGGTACATGTTTAATTCTCACTAGTTGGAATCTAGCATTTCCATCCTTTTCCATCAAACAACATTTCCAGTTATAAAACAGGCTACAGTTTATAAGGGTATTTGCAGTAACTGTGATTTGTCACTAGTACAACGCACAGATAGTCTCATATCAGATTACATTCATTGTCCCATATCAGTATTGTTCACTGTTTTGAAATTATGGTAGTTACTAACTTTCTGGCAGATTTTTGTTACTTAATGCATTAATAAAAGAGCACATATGTTGCTCTATTTCAGTAAAACTTGTTTCCTTTATAATGTCATGTGATTTATTTTGTGCATTTAATAACACTCTGAGGAATCTAGTCTTCACCAGACTGCCGGGGGATCCATGGCAGGAGAAGCTTAAGGTTTCTGAGTTCATGTATGTAAAGCTCCAAGAACAGTGCCCAGCACACTACACAACTACTACATAGGTATTTACTCATAAACAGAAACAGAAGTGCCCTCCAAATTCTAGAAGTTAGCGTTCAGTTTTTGTCTTGGAGTTGCTAAATAAATTTAACCAGAATATACCGATTTCATACTCAGGGCACAGAAAGACCTGTTCCATCACCTGTCTGTCATCATTACACGCTCAGACGAGTGGAAGCTGTCCTGGTGAGGGCCTCGCAACTCTTAATACTACAGAGAATCTGTCACTTCAAACTGATAGTACCCATGACCATGCTCTGCCAGTCCTTACAGAGTCACACCTGATGTCGTTCAAAAGCTTCAGTTAGCTCAGGCCTTATTTTCATTATTGCCAAAAGGCCTATTATTTAGTTTTATAAAGTGCAAGTTTGCCTTCATGGATGTCATGTGCCATGAGCTAATGACACTGGGTGCATGTTGCTTGCTTACATCTTACACTGTGAAGGTAACTTCAGGCTGACTAACCACCAACCTGTACTAGTAACCAGAGCAGACCGGATCTTTAGGGGTAAGAGGAGGTGTAACTGGAGGACACGAGGTCCACACAAAGCACGGGAGAGAGAGACAGAAGCCTCTGGGGTCGAGCGTGTCTTGGGTTGTAACCCAACTCTTGATCACCCCGTACTTTCTATTCCTGGCCTTCTGCCAAAGCCTCACAAAAGAAGAATAATTAGCAAAATAATGCACCCAATTGTGTGTGTGTTTTTAAACTGTGAATGATTATTAGTTATTTATATAAAAATAGTACATATTCCAGGCACACTGATAGATCTGATATTAAACAATGAAAAGGATACTTTGTAAACTTTTAATGGGAGGCAAGGGTCTTAGAAAGAAATTAATGATTGGTGCAATTTTCTCTTCCTTTCTTGGCCTTTCCTGTGTAACCAGGGGCTGGACTTCAAGATGTATGCTTCTTATGTTTGCCTAGATCTGCACATAAACAAATTTTAGAAAAATGTGAATCACTTAATATTGCAAAATATTTTTATCAAATGCCATGTGCAAGGGTTACAAATACTGTTCAAATAAGTAACTCTGGAATCAAGAGAAATAAACATATAGTATTAAAAAAAAAGATGTATGCTTTCTACTTCTACTTTCCTAGTAGATGAGAGGACATTACCCATGAAAATTTAAAGTATCCGAGTGATCAGGTACCTAATAATACCATCAGCCACTTGAAGCACTCACAGACATGATGAATCTTTCATCTTCATTGAAGTGTCTGTGTCTGCCAGACTGTTGGGCCAGTGTTTCATTATCAAAACATCTCTTCAGTGTAGATAGTGAGATGGAAATAATTTGCACATGGTATACATGATCTTACCAAAGCAAAAACCTGAAAAACATATATTCTCTGTGAATTTTCTCAGTCTCACAGGAATATAAGAAGAGTTCATTTCAAGATTAACCTGACTGTTTAAAAATCAAAGACTGATAAATGAAGAATATCTTCAAATTCCAAGCCCACTTATGTACTTCATAGCATAGAACCAGTTTGAACTAAATATTTTTGTTAATTTACCTTATTTATCATAGTATGTGTAGCAGGTACACATACTATTTTATGATCTAAAATGGTAATTTTTTTTTTTTGCTTTGAATACTTCAGATTTTTCCCTTTTGAACTGTTCTCTCCCCTGTTATAATTAGGAATGTATGAGTATTTTATAAGATTATCAGTGTTCTTTCAATCAGCTTAATATCTTAATATTGACTAAATGAAGAACAGGGAGTTAGTTTCATAATACATCTTTGAATAATGTACTGTTTTTTTCAGTGAGCAGAAAGATCTGGACCCTAAATAGGCTCAATTCAGAGTAAAGGATTAAAGACTCCTAAAGACAGCGCGGAGGAGCTAGATGCCTTAGGTGACGAAGAAGTGGAGGGAGGAGGCCTAAGACAGCATCTGCATTTTCTGTGCTAATAACAGGTGCCCACGTCTGTGAGGAACTCCCCTTACTGTTCACTGACGTGACCCTGCCCCTGAGTTAGACTGAGGGACTCGGAATGTGCCATGTGAACTCTGACCCCTGGTGCTGGTGAAGTGAATGTTCAAATTCCAGTGTATAATATACTGGTTACTTCATTCCTGATTTCTTTTTCATATGTTTTATTATGTAACACAGTTACATGTATTTACTTAATTATTTAATGAATACCGTGGGTTGCACTCCTAAAGTGTTTTTGCTGATGGGTTATGTGATTAAGAACATTTGGAAACCACCGCCTCAGGGAAAGCAGTGGAATAAGGTGACTTTCTGTGCCAAATGGACTCATGTGCAGATTAAGGGGTTTTCTCCTGAGGTTGGCTGGGGCAGCTGGGATGGGGAGGCAGGTGTTAGGTGCAGGGAGAACAGGGCAGCATGCAGGACACAGATGCTGCTTGATAGTCTCGAGATCCTTGATTCCCGTTCTTGTTTCAGCGAGAGCTGGTGGGAGAGCAGAGCGACTTGTTGTGAGCTGTACACCGGGAGGGTCTGCAGGGACTGCCCATGGGCGAGAGGCACATGCGAGGGGCCGGGGACCCTCCGGAGGGGTCTGTGGAGTCCTGACTCTGAACCCTGTGCCTCCGAGGTGGGCCGCCCGGCGGAGCCCTGGCTCCAAGCGCTGGCTCACCCCTCAGTCTCAACTCTGGGGACCCGGGTCCTGAGAGGTCATAGTGGCTTCATAGGATGATTACTCTTTAGCTATAAAATATGGGATGGGCTGTTCATTCCATTTCTTCTCAATTTATAATAGTAATAGTAATAATTTTTAAATGACTTGAGAAAAGACAGTGACCCATTCAGAAAGAAAGAAAATTACTCAAGCCACTTGGCATATTTCTTTTGGTCCTCTGGTTCCGCACCTGAGGTGCTAGCTTTTTTATTTTTTATTTCTTTTTAATGTATACTTTTTTTGTAGTCTGTGTTTTGGAAACTTGACAGTAAATTTTCTGATTCTGGCAATATTGTGGACTTGGTACCTTAAAAGCCTGTCCACTGCATGTAGCAAACATTTTTTTCAATGCATAGTTGGGCTTATAAAAAAGTAAGAAAACTGCCAGAAAGGAAGGGGGTGCTGCAGATGCGGGTGGTGAGCGTGCCAGCTGCCGCAGTGCCCCTTGGGCGGGTGCTGCTCACGGAGCCTCCTGGAGGCTTGGGTTTCATCACTCATGTGAAAAAGGCGGAAGAAGCTTTGGGCCTGTGAAAGGAGGAGAATTGAATGGAGACTCTCTCCCTCTTGCCCCAGGAAGGTGACAGGCAGATTGTTCATTTTAACCTGGTTTCTGGAGGGCCAGGGAAAGAGGTGTAGACTGAGAATTTTAAACAGGCTGAGCCTCCATGGGTTTGGGGACTCAGGCTGCATGAGCATTAGACCTGGCCATCGATACCCCTTGGCTATTTGACGGCATAAGACCAAACACTGCTGTAAAGAGACATTCCTTCACCTCAGGCACGTAGGATACCCAAACGTAAAGCCCCATTGAAGATGAGCTCGAAATCTAAAATTACCAGTCACATGAGTGAACAGTTGACTATGAGCAAGAGTTTAGACATGACAAACAGTAATTCCAGATGATAAAATCATTAAGTTTAAAATGACTAAAAGTAAAAACTAAGGAAACACAAATTACTAAGAAAAAAGAGCAAGCAGATTTGAAAGACCTAATGAGAACTACAAGAAATGGAAATTAGAGTTATTAAAGTGAAAATCTCCATGATGGGGAGCATAGCAGGTGAACGATTCCAGAGCCCCACTGAGTACCCAGCAGAGAGGCAGAGGGAAGGATGTGGGCAGAAGCTGGGTATATTCTGCCAAGGTCACTGCTGTGACGCATCCTGTTTTGCTGTCCTGGCTGATTTGTACAGTTCTTGCCAGCTTTTTGGATCTGCCCCCTCATGGCTGAGAGCTCACCTCTCTGAGCTTAAGCCTCATAGCCCCAAGCACCCACACAGCGGAAGTGCCAGGGGCAGAGGGCTCTATGATGAGGGTGAGTAGGCAGCCTTCCTGAGAACATGAGGCTCTTCCACACCACCCCCACTGGAGGTGAGCCCAGGCAAAGAGGATGCTGCGTTCCAGGAGGCAGAAGGTGCAGCAATGAGAGCAGATAGAGAGTTCAGCTGCAAGAGTGATAGGAAGTCAGGGTCTTTTTTTGGTCTAGGATCAGTTTTGGTTGCTTTGATTTTTTTATAAATAGAATCATACAGTATCTCTTCTACATGTCTCTTAGTCTACCTTTCATTTTTTTAAAGCTTTTCATCAGTATTTTCCATTCCGGGTAATAATTTTAGTATACTTTTCATCAGCAATTTTTTCTTCATACCCATCAAGTATCTGATTTGATTTAATTCAATATACTTTTCATTTCAGTTGTTCTATTTGGTTTTCTCTTTCATATTTGTAAGGACTTTTTTGATAGTCCCTTGTTTCTTCATCACACTTTAACCTTTCAAGATGTCATTGTACATACTGTGCACATGTGCTGTTACAGTCACTATCTGATAATCCTGCTGTTTGCAGTGTGTGGGGTCTGATTCTCTTGTTTGTTCTGCAGAGTCTCATGTGGTTCATTCCCTTTTCTGTGACTTTTGATTGTGGGATCATATTCTTTGAAATTTTACTTGTGGAATTTCTTTGAGGCCTGCATTTGCACCTGAGAGGGTTTGCATTTATTCCTTGCATGTGCCTGGGGTCACTACCTACTTGAGACCTATTTAAGCTAAATAGCATCTTGGGGCTTTTTAGGACTCACAAGTCCTGTAAATTCTAGCCTCAGCTGTGTAAGGGCCAGCTTGTGGTTATAAGTTCCCAGAGGTGGCGTTTCCTCCTCCACTGAGAGCCGAGACTGTGACGGAAGCGTTTCTTTACCATCTCTGTTTGTGGGGCTGCCGCCAACCCATGTAGCCGTCCACTAGCTCCGGTGTTCTAAACCTCCAGTCAGATTTTTTCGCTCTTGCCTCCCCAGCCTGTTAAAAACCAAAGCTCCTGCCTACCTCGCTGGACTCAGGCCTTTTCAGTGTTTTGGCCTCTGAGGATTTCATTTCTTTCATTATGAGCTCAGCTGTTTTATAAAGACATGGCTTACATCCTTTCCCCTGCATTTTCAGGTATTCTGTGCTGAGGGTTTTTTTATGTTATTTGATTTGCCACATTGTTGATAGTAAAGCTGTTATATTATTATTTATACTTTTCTCATTGCTTGAAATTCCTTAATAGTAACTACTAAATTATGACTGCTTTCCTATGTCTTTAAATATAATTTTCTTAAACATCTTTAATGGATGTGTAGTATTTTATAACTGTAATTACTTAGTCCTCTTTTGATAGTTTTCCGGTATTTTGCTATTAACAACCCTGATGAAGTGAACAACTGTAACCTATTGTATCTTGTGCAATGAAGATAAATACTAGAAGTAGAGTTACTGATACAAGCAATGCTTAACCTCCTAAGGCTGTCAGTGCCTACTGAGTCCAGGCCATTTGGAACAGAGCCCCTGCTAATGGCGTAGATACGGCTGGAGCCGGAAGAGAGACCTGGGCCCTGGCTCCCGGCTCGCTCTGAGAGTGAATGACTGGAGCCACTGGGGGCCAGCATCTGCACCTCGGAAACGGGAGCTTGGACGGGTCAAGCGGCAGGGCTTCTGTCCTCATCCTGTCCTTCTCACGCTGTGCTCTTTCTTCCCTCTTCCCAGGTGACCTCACGGTGGACTTTCCGATGCCCGGGATGCCCTCAGGCCCTGTCGCACGATGATTCCCACTTTCATGAGCGGCACAAATGTATCAACTTCTTTGTCCAGGTGTACGGCTATATGCCCTTACTGTACACTCAGTTCAGGGTGGACTCTGTGCTCTTCAAGACCCGCCTGCCCCATGACAAGACCAAGTGCTTCAAGTTCATCTAGGGGCATGGCTGGTTCGGGGAGAGGATAGCAGAGTGAGGGAGGTGGTGCCTAAGGTTCCTAGACTTGAAGGACCTCGGGGCCGTCCGCTGGGTGGGTGGCCCAAGCCCTCTGCTGCAAGAGGCAGCAGGGAGTGCGGAAAAGAAATCGCCTTCTTTCTCTTGAAGTCGGCCACACTGGTCCTGGAACCCTGGCCAGAGGTCACTGGGGTTCCCTACACAGGGCACTGACCGATAGCGTACACTGAGGGCCGGGGCGGCTCTGGAGAGTCACCCACGCAGTTCATAATAAGCCCAGGACAGCTGGTTTGTGGTTTTTAAATTCAGTAACAACTATTAATATTATTTAAAGAGAAAAAGTTTCAGATTTGCCATTCAAGGCTTATTTATATATATGTGTGTATATATACATATATATGTGTGTGTGTGTATATATATATATATATATGTGCGCACGCACACTCACATACATATACATATACATATACATATATATATGTAGTGGGGTGGGGGTGACATTTCTGCCTGTTCCGCAAGGCTCCTGATGCTCTCTGTTTTGGTGGAGACGGATCCTGGCCTTGCGGTATCTGGCTCATCCTTAAAGGTCACTTCCGTCCTCCCAGGAGCATCTGTGGTGCCGGGCTTGGCCCTCGTGGGACCTTGGGCCACATAAGGCCTGTCAGTTCGTTTCCCCCTTTCTGTTGCCCGCCAGTGGTCTGGAGCTCGTACTCTGCTGTCACCTGAGTTACTGGGGACGACCTGTACCTTTGGGAACAGCTGAGCCTGTTGTGCTGAATTCCGAGGCGCGCAGATCTGTCAGAAGTCGGCTGGCCCAGAGGTGTCCCTGCAGGAGAAGGCCGAGGCGGGAGGGCGGCTGAAGACGGCACCCCCGGGCGGCTGCCTCTGTGAGGCCCTCCTCTCGGAAAGCATGCTGGGCTCTGCTTCCAGGCTGTCCTGAAGATCGTCTCTTGTATAAGAGAACAGAAAACGGGCTGGCTGCATGTCCAGGGGTGGCCTGGAGGGGTCTGCAGGCTGGCCTGCTGTCTGGGGTGTAGAACAGCGCGTATCCTCTGGATCCCCACCCGGCTGGCCGGGGAGTCTCACGGCAGGGCGCCTGCCGTGCCATAAATACCTTGGTGAAATTCACCTTCCCTCCCGCCTTTGTCTGGACCCACATCCTGTGTTACCCATAGTTTTTGGACCCCACGTGCCAGGTTGGTCCCAGGACCCCCAGGTTTGGTATGCAGCAGGCCAGTGAGGCCCTGCACTCTGCGGGCTTAAGCTGAAACCCACCCTGAGCCTTCACAGGCTTTCACACCCGACGTTACTACTTTCCCCTCTACGTTTGCATTTCTGTTCTCTGGGCTGAAATGGAAATAAGCTAATTTTTTTTTTTTCTGGTGGCAGCATTAGGGGAGCCGAAGAGGGTATTAGTGGCATTTGGCAGGGATTAGGTTCCTAGACTTGAAGGACCTCGGGGCCGTCCGCTGGGTGGGTGGCCCAAGCCCTCTGCTGCAAGAGGCAGCAGGGAGTGCGGAAAAGAAATCGCCTTCTTTCTCTTGAAGTCGGCCACACTGGTCCTGGAACCCTGGCCAGAGGTCACTGGGGTTCCCTACACAGGGCACTGACCGATAGCGTACACTGAGGGCCGGGGCGGCTCTGGAGAGTCACCCACGCAGTTCATAATAAGCCCAGGACAGCTGGTTTGTGGTTTTTAAATTCAGTAACAACTATTAATATTATTTAAAGAGAAAAAGTTTCAGATTTGCCATTCAAGGCTTATTTATATATATGTGTGTATATATACATATATATGTGTGTGTGTGTATATATATATATATATATGTGCGCACGCACACTCACATACATATACATATACATATACATATATATATGTAGTGGGGTGGGGGTGACATTTCTGCCTGTTCCGCAAGGCTCCTGATGCTCTCTGTTTTGGTGGAGACGGATCCTGGCCTTGCGGTATCTGGCTCATCCTTAAAGGTCACTTCCGTCCTCCCAGGAGCATCTGTGGTGCCGGGCTTGGCCCTCGTGGGACCTTGGGCCACATAAGGCCTGTCAGTTCGTTTCCCCCTTTCTGTTGCCCGCCAGTGGTCTGGAGCTCGTACTCTGCTGTCACCTGAGTTACTGGGGACGACCTGTACCTTTGGGAACAGCTGAGCCTGTTGTGCTGAATTCCGAGGCGCGCAGATCTGTCAGAAGTCGGCTGGCCCAGAGGTGTCCCTGCAGGAGAAGGCCGAGGCGGGAGGGCGGCTGAAGACGGCACCCCCGGGCGGCTGCCTCTGTGAGGCCCTCCTCTCGGAAAGCATGCTGGGCTCTGCTTCCAGGCTGTCCTGAAGATCGTCTCTTGTATAAGAGAACAGAAAACGGGCTGGCTGCATGTCCAGGGGTGGCCTGGAGGGGTCTGCAGGCTGGCCTGCTGTCTGGGGTGTAGAACAGCGCGTATCCTCTGGATCCCCACCCGGCTGGCCGGGGAGTCTCACGGCAGGGCGCCTGCCGTGCCATAAATACCTTGGTGAAATTCACCTTCCCTCCCGCCTTTGTCTGGACCCACATCCTGTGTTACCCATAGTTTTTGGACCCCACGTGCCAGGTTGGTCCCAGGACCCCCAGGTTTGGTATGCAGCAGGCCAGTGAGGCCCTGCACTCTGCGGGCTTAAGCTGAAACCCACCCTGAGCCTTCACAGGCTTTCACACCCGACGTTACTACTTTCCCCTCTACGTTTGCATTTCTGTTCTCTGGGCTGAAATGGAAATAAGCTAATTTTTTTTTTTTTCTGGTGGCAGCATTAGGGGAGCCGAAGAGGGTATTAGTGGCATTTGGCAGGGATTCAGCCAATGACTTCTACCATTTTTCTGGATTCCACTTTCTTCCGGTGAAGTTGAGAATAGGTGGTTTCCTGCCACTGAACAAGCTCAGGTCTGTCCTGGCCATGCTCATGCCTTAAGCCAGTTCCGTCCTCCCCAGACCTCGATACCTGTGCTTCTCTTCCTTGGGAGCACGTTCTCCTCTGACCCGCCTGTACACATAGGTTCTCTGCAAGTATCTGCAAATACTGTTCTGAAGCCAGACTCTGTCCTGTAGATGCCACCCACCTATAGGGCCAGCTTGACCTAAGGGACTGCTCGTCAGCAAACAGGAGCCTGCTCCCAGAGCCTGTGCCCTACAGGTTCCCACTGGCATCTTCTTGTAGCTCTGCTACTCAGGCAGCTGCCTGGGAAACTGAGTCATGCTTGTTAGCAACCTGGCAAAGGGTCCTCCTGGCGTCCTAACTGTCTAACCAGCCCTTCCTTGACTTCACACTTTATTCTTTTTAGCAGTAGCCTTCTTCCCGCCGGGGAGCCAAAGAGTATGGTGTTTTGAGCTGTGTGGCTGCTATTTTTACCTTGTTTCTTTTAATGTGAGGAACTCATCAACTGACTTCCAGTGGGGCCTGCTGAGAAGTAAGCCGTCTGTGTTAGGAGCCCTAAGTGGAGCCAGGCGGCTGGGTCCCTGAGGGCTGTCGGGAGCTCTGGGAGTAGCTGAATGGTCTGAGGCTAAGGATGACATCAAGGTGGCCTGCAGGGCGGGTTATGACGTCAGAGCTGCAGACAAGGAGAGCGCCGTTTGGATGTGAATGACACTAACGAGGGGCTCCAGAAGCAGGCCCTGGCGCCCGGCCGTGTTCCTGAAGGGTGCTCCGCAGTGGCAGGAGGCAGGGTGGGTTAGGAGAGGCCCAGCAGCACACGTAGCGTGCTGATCAGTCACCTGGGGGACCCCTGGACATAAAAGAGCTCTGCGGACCCGCATGGGCGTTCCCCGCTGTGCTCAGGCACCTCCTTGTCGCCTGGTCTTTGCGCCCAGGGCCCAGGACATCCCTGGCCTCCAGCTAGCCAGTCTGCCCTTGACGGAGCAAGCGCCTCCCTGGGTGCCCCGAACCAGTCTGAGCTCCGCACCCAGGCCGGGCTCTCCATCTGGTGTGGACGGCACCCCTCCGGTCGGCAGGGCCTGACGGGCAGGCAGAGCCGGCTCTCCAGTGGCTGCTGCGCCTCTCCGGGGCTCCTGCTTGGAAATGATGGTATTTCGAAGGGAGAAGCTCTTTGACCTCCATGCCGTGTCCATCCACCCCACCCCTTTTCCAGTCATGAGCACAATGGTCTTACATTGGATTTTTGTAAAAAAAAAAAATAAATGGAGACTTTAACTCAAGCAGCTTGGAGGTCTTTTGTGATTTTCCTCTGCAGGGACGGGACAGTGACCCGAGAGAAGGCTCCTGCCTGACTGTCAGGAGCCACCTGGGACCCCGCCCAGCTTGACGGGGCTGAGTGGCTGCGTCCTGCAGCTGGCGCGCCCGAGCCTGGGTGATGCTGTGCGTGTGCTGAGACAAGGGCAGCCTTGCCTATGTCTGCGTCTGGGATTAGTCGTTTGATTACAGAGACGATTTAGATGTCACTTAGGTGATCTGAGTGGGATGTGGGACAGTATGTGGCACGTACATTGCCACTTTTATGCCTTTCCCTGGTAACTTGGAAAAGTGTGTGTGAGGTGTAGAGCTGGAGACCTAGTGTGTGCAGGCATCTCCAGTCCCTGTCTTACTGTATACCTAGAGAGAACATGTCTACTTCGCTTCTGCTCCTGTTGGCTTCAGGCCTTCATAAGGTAAGCTGATATTATCGTCACTGAAATTGGAGTTTCCATGATAATTTCAAAAAATGCGGTTAAGAAGGATAATGTTGGAGTTAGGGTGTGGGCTCTCAACTGTGTAGGTTCAAATCCTGAGTCCTGTCAGACTGTTAGAGAGCAAGTTCTCTGTTCTGGACTTTAATCTCATATAAAATGGCAAACGTCGGGTCCACATCTCAAAGCTATGCTGGAAGTGGAATACATGTGAAGAGCCCGCTGTTTGGCCTGCAGTCGAAATGAGCTGGTACCGGGGTGACGTTCCTTCAACTTCCTAGTGGTTCTTCCTACGTTCCATTTGCTGTCATGCCACTCATGGTTCAAGTCTCAGCTGAAGCCTTGCCTTCGGGAGGCCCTCCCTTCTCAGAAGGCACTGCCTACCCACCCCCCCATCTCTGCAAGCAGCCGGATCTGTCTGTGCTACCCACTGTGCCCTGTAACGGTTTATGGCTAAGCTCAGCTTTCCACCTGTGAGCCTCTTAGGAATAGAGCATATAATTAGCACTAAATAGTTTTTGATGAATGAGTGATTTCACAAAAAAGAGGATCACATGGAAATCATAGCCAGCAACATGCAGAATAGTTACCAGTACCACAGTGGTTCTGGAATATAGCGACGGTGGTATCGCCAGATAAATCAGGGAAGCCTGGTGCCCAATTGCTGAGAAGTCTTAAATTCACTACTCTTATTGTTTAAATCTTCATTGACAAAGGGGAACAAGAGGGCAGGCCAGGAAGAACTGAAGACGCCGGCTGGATCCCAGAGGAGATCGTGAAGGTGAGGAGCCTTGGCCGAAGGGCCAGGTTTGCTGTGCTATTTAATTTCACCTGTTTTAATTGGGTGAATTTTTTTCCCCTCAGTTTGTCTTCACATTTGTGAAAGAGTAAAATCCTAGTCCTACAAAATATTGTAGTTGTCATGTTAGAATCTGAACTGTTTAGAATCTATTTATTTAAAATACTGGTCCCAATATTTCATTATGAAAATCTCATACAGGAAAGTTTAATTTTTATAGTATGAGCCTATGTATTTAGCAACCATTTTACTGTATTTGCCTCATAGCTATCGGTATAGCCATCCCTCTACCCAGTCTTTCATTCTATATTTGATGCATTTCTAAGTAAACTGACACTGGTACACTTCCTTCTAAATTCCTAAGCACCTGCATCATTAACTTGGAGGTCAGTATTAGTTGCCATGTGTTTAATGTAAACTACATATTAAATTTACACACTGAAATGCACAGATCTTAAGTGTACATTCTCAAGTTTCGACAAATGCACATGCCTGTGTAACCCGGCGCCCTGTAAAGATGGGATGTGACTGTCAACCCTGTTTCTCACATTCCTTTCTAGTCTCACCTGCACCCTAGAGAGAACCAATGTTCTGGGGTTTTTTTCCACCTGGGATGAGTTTTCCCTGTTCCAGAATTTCACATAAATGGGGTCATAGAATGTTTACTCCTTTGTGCGAGGGCTCTAGAAGCCCCCGTTTTCGAGCGGCAGCCAATCTTGCAGGCACTAGGAGTTGGCCGTCCTGGCGAGCAGCGCTCCCCTGCAGAATACCCATTCTGCTGAAGGCCACTTGGGCTGCTTCCAGTTTTTGGCTATAATGCATGAAAGTGCTATGAACATTCATGTGCAGGTCTTTTCATGGATCTATGTTTTTCTTTCAGGTAAATACCCAAATTGTTGTGTGATAAGGTAGGTTATGTACATGTTTACATTTTTAAGAAACTTGCTGGACCTTTTTCCGAAATGACTGAACCCATTTTGTATTTCTGCCTAGAATTATGAGAGTTCCAGTTGCTCTCCATCCTCCCCACCCTATGGTATTGTCAGTCTTCTAAAGTTTAGCCATTCTGGTAGGTGAGTAATGGTTATCCCATAGTTCCCATTGGCATTTCCCTGATGACTAATGACATTCAGCACTTTTTCATGTGCTTACATCATTTATATGTATTTCCTTTGTGAAGTACCTTGACAAATCGTTTGCCCATTAACAAAATATTAATGCATTTAAAACAGACTTCTTTTGAGCAGTTTTAGGTTTACAGAAAAATTGAGCAGTAAGTCAAGTTCCCCCTGCACCCAACTCCCCCAGCTTCCTACAGTGTCAAGCCCTTGCATTAAAGTGGAACATGTGTCCCATTTGGTGAGCCAGTAGTGACACATTAGCCAAAGGCCTACTTTACATTAGGGCTCCCTCTGTGCAGTGCGTCCCGTGGGTTTTGATAGAAGTACGACATGGACCCACTACTGCAGTGTTCTAGAGTGTTCCTCCCACTGCCCTGCACCTGTGTTGCTCCGCTCACCCACCCCTTCCTTTCCCACCAGTCCTGTTACTGCCTCCATAGTTTTGCCTTTTGCAGGATGTCCTAGAGTTGGACTCATACAGTGTGTAGCCTTTTCAGATTGGCTTCGTGCATTCAGTAATACGCATTTAAGCTTCCTCCATCCCTTCGTGGTTTGATAGTTCACTTCCTCTTATTGCTGAATAATATTCCACTGTCTGGGTGTGTTGGTCGTTTTGTGGAGTTAGAGGAATAATTTACCCTGCATACTAGTCCCTTGTCAGATGTGTATTTTGTTAATATTTTTTCCCGGTTTGTGGCTTCCCTATCTGTTTCCTTTATAGTATCTTCTGATGAGCAGAAGCTGTTAATTTTGATGAGACCTAATATATAATTTTTTTCTTCTTTGTTACTGCTTTCTGTAACTCAAGAAACCTGTGCCTACCCTAAGTCACGAAGATATTCTCTTATGTTTTGCATGAAAAGCTTTATGGTGTTGGCTTTTACACGTAGGTCCAGAGTCCATCTCAAATTAGTATGTGTCTGGTGTGTAGTAGAGGTCAAGGCTTAATTCTTTTCTTTCCGAGTATCTAGTCATCCCGTTTGTTAAAGGCTTCCCCTTCTCCACTGAATTGCCGTGGGGCCTTTTTGAGAATGTAATGACTCATTACGCGCGGGCTTTCTGGGCTCTTCTCGGTTACCCTCATTTGTGCATCCTTGTTGCTAGAGCCCGTTGTCCGGATTAATGCAGCTTTCTAGTTAGTCTTCAAATGAAGTAGTGTAAGTCCTTCAGCTTGCTCAGCTTGCTCAGGATTGCTTCGGATATAATAGTTACTTTTTATTTCTATATGTAAGTTTTTGAATTTGTCAATTTATTATTTAAAAAAACTGAATTAAATACTTTTATTCGAGTGGTAGCAGAGCTTGACTCCTGGCAGGTTAACAGTGGATTCAGCGAGACCGACAGATGACAAGAGCATTAGGTGAGGGCTCACACCAGGCTGTACTCGCAGAAGCCCGTGGAGCGCTGATCATCCCATCTGCACGAAAGTACCTGGCATCCCTTTACAGCATCCCGGACAAGAGCAGCTCGCCGCCCGAGTGCGTAAGCACACGCCTGCGCCGTGGGTACAGGCATGAGCGCATCCAGGTGAGTGACCTGCACAGGGTGGCCCCACCTTCCCTACACTGGTAAACTACACGTAACTTAAAAATGATCATTTTAGTCCTTATGTGTACAATTCAGTTACATTCACGATGTAACCATCACCACTAGCTACTTACAGAATTTTTTCATCTTCCCAAACAGGAAGTCTGTACCCATTGAAAGGTAATCCCCTAATTCCCCATCCCCCACAGCCCCTGGTGACCTCGATTTGTCTCTTGATTTGCCTTTTCTGGACATTCATAAATGTAATCATACAATATTACTTAGCATGTTTTACTTATCCATGTTGTAGAACTTCATTCCTTACTATGGCTGGAAAATATTTCATATATATAGTTTTGTTTATCCGTTCACCTGTCGATGGACACTTGGGTTACTTCCACCTTGTGTCCATTGTAAATAATTCTGCTCTGAACATGGGTGTACAAATCTGAGTCCTTGCTTACAGTTCTTTTGGGTACATATCCATGCGTGGAATTGCTGGATCGTAACTTAATGTTTAACTTTTTTTTTAGCTGCCTAAACATTTTCGACAGCAGCTGCACCATTTTATATTCCCATCAGTAACGCAGAAGGGTTCCAATTTCTCCATATCCTTGCCAACACGTTTTGTTAATTAAAAAAAAGCTTTTATAGACGTCCTCGTAGGTGTGAAGTGGTGCACCTCCCTGGGTTTGATTTGCATAGAACGATGAGAGGGCACTGCACTTGCCCTCTGGCTGTAAGGGAACGCCTGGTCTTGGGGCGGGAAATGCCCCACCTCCCCTTCCTACCACCAGTTTGCGTGGCTCGCATGAATATATCATCTCACAGCTTTGCAGGTTTCTTTGTTTCTTTCTGTTGATGCCCCACTGTAGTGGGAAAGCCAGTTCCTGCCTTGACAGGACAACTGTGAGAGAGGAGTTTCAGGCTCTTCGGGGACCAAGGGGAGGGGCGGTTACTTGAAGAGAAATGGCCTACCAGGCAGGCCTCCCCTTGCTGGCCGGCTCCTGCTCCCTGGTGCTCCCCTAAGACATGATCGTGGGCTAGAAGCCACTTATTGGCTATGCGTTTTGGGGAAAGTTATTTAACCTCTGTACCTCGGTTTCCTTGTCCAACACCTTCATTGTAGTCCTGTGGGGAGGTGACCCCGAGGCAGGAGCAGCCAGCTAGGCCACACCAGATTTCTGACCCACAGAAACGGTGACATCCTCAATGTCTATTGGTTTAAGCCACTAAGTTTTGGGGTAATTTGTTACCTAACAATAGATAAGCCACTTCTCAGAGTATAAGAAATAAAATCCGGTTCCTCACTATTTCTGGATTACTGTTAATAGGATTTAGTAACTAGGATCTTATTTATGAAGATTAGTTATTAGGATTTCGTCGGGCTCGAGTAATTTTCGTGGAAGCCAGACTCCTCAGGCGGCTATCAGCCGTCAGGACCACGCGCCCCAGAGCCGCCATCCACCCATCAACCTAGCGCTCAGAGGCGGGTCTTGCCGTTTCTTCCGGGTCTTCTGTTCTTCAACCTGGTTTGTTACCCAGGTATCTGACCTCCAGGCAGCATTGCTCAGACCTGCTCTAATACTCGGAAGGCTCAGTGCTAGCATTTCTCTTTGCTCTAGCAAATTATTCTTCCCTTCTTCCTGCCTCTGGCTTCTGCCACTCAGTCAGTGGTGGTGACTTGATTAAAACCTTCACGATTCTGAATTATCTCCTGTCTGTCAGTTTACTGACTAATTTGCATTTACACACTGTTTAGTAACCACCTTTCAAGGGGTCGATACCTTGGGCTCTCTGATCAAGGCCTTTAACAAATCCAAGTCATTCCTGGACATATCATTAGAACATGTAAGTAAAAGAACCATTGTGATTTTTTTTGACCTTTATTTTATAATGCTTTTGCATTTTTCAAGATGTTACAATTAAAAAAAAAAACTTGATTTCTCCCAAAAGTTTTATTAGAAAGTATATGCCTATGTGTGATGCATACTACAATTCTCCTCCTAAAAACAAAGCTGGGTTTCACAGCCACGGCAGGCCCGCCTTAGGCCATCCTCCCCCACGGCTGCGGGTCTCTGCGGTTTAGTCTGTAGGCACATCCCACGCTACTTGGCGGAGTGACCTTGAAAAACAGACCCATTTAAGCCCAGAAGTCCTGTGCCAGGCCTGGCAAAGCTGGAGATGGCAAACATGAGGCTGCCTTGTTCCTCCTTGAGTGAGGAGTGCCTGCCCCTTGCTTTGTCCGTTCCAGAGAGAGCCGACAACCCACTGCTCCAGACCCAAGCAGGTGGCTCTCCAGGTCTGTCTGTAGTCCTGGGTCACTGAATCCTTCTGTGGTGCTCAGCCGCTAGCCGGGTTGGACTGACTGCTGACTGAATTTTAACCAGTCTAAAAAGATTTTAAGAACAGAGGCTGAGCTTGAGCTACTTCCACAGCCTACCAGTTCTAAGACTTGAAGTCTACCCACCCCATCGCATACGTTAATGCTTGCAAAACTGGCATGTGTTACAACTGATGCCACCTTAGATAAGATGTAATAATATAGTAAATATTTGTTTCAAAAGCAGTGTCACTTCAAATATAGTAGCTTACCTACCTAGTGGGTCTGTGGGCATCTGAGTGTAATGCTCAGCTAACTGCAGAGAACTCTGGAAAACTGCAGGAAAGGCCGTGAAGGGCGAGGGGCCCTGTGAGCCACATTCAAAGCCCTTCCCCCACTGGCGGAGGCTGTTCCCACTTGGCACTGGTGTTTCTTATACAGACACAATGTCAGCTTGTACGATTTAACGCGTTTACCAAACTACCGTTGCTGTGATGTTCTAAGTTTATGCTGTACTGTATGGTTTCATATTTTTTCAGACACTAAAATTAATGCATAAACTGTAGGTTCAACAGGGCACAGATGCTTCTATAAAAAATAAGTTTTATTAACAAAATGGCCTCATGATATAATACAGATAACTGGGGTCATTTTTATTATTAGGTGCAGTGCTGTGTCCAAATAAATAAAATCAAACGCTAGTTCCCCCCTGAGGCCTGTGAAACCATAAAAAAAAAGTCATCTCTTGACCTCCCCTTCCACCACTAGCCTCTTGGAAAGCTGCGCCGTCACCCCTATGCCACCCCTCGGCTCGTCCAGGCTACCGAGACAGCCTCAAGTTTAAAGCAGAAGGTCTAGCCGGAAACAGTGCCAGAAATGCAGAGCAGGAGATGCTGGCCATTGAACTCCGGGTACTATCCCGCAAGAGCCACTTCTTTGTTCCTTGAGCCAGAGAGCTCTGCAGAGGGCACCAGCCTCTCTGCCCTTCCTCAGCCGGCGTGTGTTGGGCAGCTGCAGGGAGGGCAGCAGGCCTTCGGGCAAGTGGAAATGGTACAGGGGTTCCATTAGAATTTCTGCAGGAATTTGAGGACAAGGTCCCGCAGTCGTACCCTGAGCATCTCATCATTGTCACAAATGATGTGCGTCGAGTCGTCCTCAATCTGGATGAGTGTCTCGGCTTCCTGGAGCAGGACAATGTGGCCCTTGGCCGTGTCTTCCACCTTAATGTCACTGAAGCCGTGCTGCTCCAAAAGAAAAGAGAAAGGAGGCTGGTGGGTATTGTACAAGCAAGGGGCGGGCTGCAAGGCAGGAGGATACCTGGGCAGCTGAGTTCTCAACTTCCTAGACTGGCTGAACTGAACATTCTAGAAACTGGCATTTTTGGCACTCCTCCACACAATTCTTCAGACTAGTCATGGGACCTACCACAGCAACAGAATTCAAGCACAGTTTCATATACTTGAAAAGAAGCCCCCAAACATGCAAAGTCTCAAGCAAAAGTCAACAGAATTTCTATAACCTGCTCAAGCTGCCGTGAGTGTTTTGAGGAGCACATCCACGCACCTGGGGTCAAGAGTCTGGGACACTGGGGTGTCCCCTTCCAGCCTCTGTGCCACGCCCATGGCCCCTGGTGAAAAAGGCTGTATCCTGTCACAGGTATAGCAAGACAGCACTGACCCTGTGACTCGGCAAGGGAGGAGCTACCTCCAGTGTGAGTTACACAACTGTGTTCCCCATCACCCAAAGCTGAGAGAGAAGTGGAAGGACTGTTTTGCCTGAAAGGGACCCAAGACAGGTAAAGAACGTGTCCTAGCGAGATTCTCGACGCTTAGTTCTAGAAAGCTCACGTGCAGCTTGGGGCAGGTACTGCCATCCCCTGAAGACGGAGATGAGGCAGAAGTGGTGGAAGGGAAGCGCCGGGGTCAGATCCTCAGGGTCAGGCAGAAGAGCTCAGAGGGGGTCTCGGCGGGCAAGCGAGTTGTTTCAGAACAAGTCAGGCCCCCGCGAGGCCCCGAGGAGGCAGTTACTGATCTGCTTGCCCACGGCCCTTGGGGTACCCCACGTGAACTCCCACACCAGTCCCACATCAGCGGGGCCTGGAGTGCGGCATGACTTGGCTGGAATCCTTCCTTCAGGGAAAATAAAACGACTGATGGGGAAAACAAATCCTAATAAAGGGAAAGCCTTTAAGACTCGAGAGAACTCAACAACTGAGATGTATAGTTTGGGCAAAAGGCAGTAACAGTTTCACAGAAGAAAAATCTGTCCTGGACTAGTTGTAGTTCTTCTAGCAAGCAACAGCATGAATGATATTATCTTTAACCAATTCCATTTTTCTATCAAGGATTCTGCAATTCTAATGCTAAAACAGTGATCTCTGAAGCTCTTTGACTGGAGCCAAAACCACAAAAACTTTTATGGTTACATTTTTTTCTTTTAATCATAGTCAAGAACTCTATTCTTGAGAGGAGCAGTCATCAGGCACAGCGTGGGGACCAGTGTCCTCCAGGATGACCGCCTGCTGCTTCTCTCTCCTCCCACCCTGCCTGGGAACTGTGGGCCCTGCCTCCTCAACCCCCAGGAGCCTCCTGAACCCCCAGGAGCCAGCAGCATGGACGCTCGTGGCCACACTGCTCCCGATCCTGACACTCAGCCCAAAGCCTCTCATCTCCTGTGACGTGGCCAGGCTGGTGCTCTGAAAGCAAGGGGTCTTCTGGTAGAAAAGCAAAGCTCCAGAAGGGGTAGCTCCCCCTTTGTCCCGGCCTACCCCACCCTGTCCCACCTGTGGGTCTGAAGAAAGGCCTTTCCTTGGCCTCGTTCCCACAGGAGGAGCGGGGTGGTGAGGCAGCCGCTGGCTTCCTGGAACTGGGTGGGAAGGAAGGCGTGCCCTTCTCCCAACTCTGACTCCCCTGCTTCTCTCCTGGCTGCGACCCTGGACCAAGCAGATGCTTCAGGGACAGCTGCTCACAGTGGACACTGAGTAAAAAGCACCGCACATCCCTGATGCAGGGGCTCCGGGAGCAGCAGCCAGGATGGCACCGTGTGTTCAGACGGGGCACACAGCATGCGCTCACCTTCTCCAGGGTCTGCACAAACTGCCCCACAGGGATGGAGCCGCTCAGCAGAGGCTTCAACACTTTGCAGTCTGGGATGTCATCGCTACCCCGCTTTCTCTTCTTACCACCTGTGGGCTGGGCCGGCCGGGGTGGGAGCTGGTGCAGAACGAAAGAAGGCGCTCATCCAGGACGTCCCCCGGGAGCAGCCGAGGTTGGCACAGACCGCCCGAGAACCCGAGCTCTGCCCAGCCTGTGGGAACCGCTTCCCTCACGGGGGCCCCAGGGCCTGGTCCCAACAAAACCAGCTCATGCCAAACTGCTACATAACGTCAGCAGCTTACTTGGCAAAGACATCTTCCTTTTATCAAGACCCATTTTAAACTTTAAATTGACTGAATTCAGAATTTTCTGAGTAAATTCTAACAAGCTGTGTTGGCGATGGCATGTACAGGAACAGCACAGTGGCGAAGGGCACTGGCTGCGGGTCAGACTGACGGGTGGACATCCTCCTGGCTTTGGAACCTTCATCAGAGAATCTGCCTAGAAAATGGTGGTAGTGGAGGATCTGGGGAGGATTAAAGAGGACAGTGCATGGTAGGGACCCAGCACCCTTTAAGGGCAGCTACCGAGTATGCAGGGGCTCCACAGCAATGGTGCAGATCTGCAGAGTTTTTCTACGGGGGTGGTGACGCCCCAGAGCAGCCGGGCAGCATGAGAGGGCGTGGGGCCGGGGACAGCCTGCTGCTTCCCGGTTCGCCCCCAGCACAGGGCCCCAGCTGCGAGCAGGCCCACCTCCATGAGTCACAGTCCCCGCCCCCTTTTCCTCCCTGGGGCCGGAGGCCAGAGACAGAAGTAGTGAGCGATTTCCCGGCAGTGCCCTCTTTCCTGCACGATGAGCCCATTAAAATGTAGTTGGGTCTCCGGTTTTTGCTGGTGTGGGAAGCCATGTCTGGGAGCTACTTGCCAGGCTAGGCCCTTTTCCTTTTGGGGGCGGGACTGGGGAGAGGAGTCCCCTAGTCTCCACAGGCCCCAGAGGTCACTCGTGGACCCAGGCCCAGGCCCCCTTACCTGCAGGACGTGCTTGTTGTCTTTGGTATGCAGCAGAGCCGAGACGGTTGCCAAGGAAATGCCAGGCTTGATCTCCATGGGCACCAGCGAATCGGCGAGCTGGGGGCAAACACAGGGCCTTGGTCAGGCTCGCTCGGTCTGCAGACGTGGGTGCTGCCCCAGCGCCCTGTCCCAGCCGAGCCTGGGGGGGGTCTCCAGTCATCCAGTGTCATAAAGCTGAGCTGTTCATGGTTATCACTACTCATTTTCTCTTTTGAATTTTTAATTACATCACTGTCCTCTAAAATGACTAAATAACATTAAGGTAGAAAGAATGAAATTTAATCAGAAATACTTCACACACCCAAATACATGTACCAACTGTAATAAGGGAGGTTGGAGAAAAGGAGGGGCCTGAGCTGGCCCCAGCCTCTCAGATTCTAGGGCTCCTTCCCTAAGGCTTCCTGAGACCCTCCGAGAGGCCCTCGGGCACACACAGCCCCAGCACGCTGAGCCTGGGGCTGACCCCGGGCTCTCCCTTTGGTAGGCAGCCCCTGGGGGGTGGGACGCTGGTGCCTGACCAGCTGAGGCCTGCAGCACATCTCCACCGTCAGGAGGCTCCCAGGCACCTCCTTGGGCAGCCCCTCTCCCCTCCAAGGGCCTCTCCTTAACCAGAGTACCTGCCAAGTGCCTCCGCCTTCATCCTCATCACCTCTCCAGTGACTAGTGTCAGGCAGGAGGGACAACGACAGCAGCCTTTGGAGTGAGCGGGTAATTCTTGGAAACCTGGTTTCCCCCCAGGGTGGAACCACAGCTTTCCCCTGGGGGCCATGTGACCCCAGTGTCTGACTCTGACAGCCTCTCTCTCCTGCACAGTTGCAGAGCCTTGGACCCACCTGGCGGGATAGTGTGGCCTTAGGAGCCCGAACCTCGGCTGTAGCTGACTGTGGTTCTTACACACGGCCCCGCTGAGGAGATGTGCACCCCAGGACCCTGGCACTGTCGGTGCCAAAATGCATTGCTCCTCACTGCCTGCAGGCCCCGCCCCAGCTCACGCTGGCCGCCAGAACTTCAAAGCCAAAGAACTGGCTCGGGAGGTTGGCAGGCATCAATGGGACCCTAGCAGGTGAGAGAGAAGCTCCCCGGGCAGTCGTGAACAGCTTCATCTCCGAGAAGTCTGAAGTGGCAGCTCGGCCACAGGGAAGGCTCACCCCGAGCCCGCGACACCCACGGCTCGGCTCCCACCGCTCAGGAGGGGGGCGCGTCCACTCGGGGCCCCAGAGCAGAGCCTGTCTATTTGAACAGGCCCTCGAGGGCTGACACATCTCCTGCTCTGCACTTATAGGGACCAGGAGGGGGACTTACAAGGCAGCTGCAGAGGACACACCTTCTTTTGGGAGGATACATAAAATTCCTTTACAGGGGTAGCAAAACTTTTAGCTCACACATGGTTTTCCCAGGCAAAGCCTAGTGATACTTTTAGTTCTACGTTTATATTCCACATGTGGACAAAAACGGGTATAAAAATGTCTCCTAAGGTGGTATTTATAATTTAGGAAAAGCAGAAGTATAAATGTACACCAATAAAAGAATAAACTATGCTACACTTAGATCATCATACAGCCATTAAGATGCTTCTGAAGTATCTTCAACGCCATACATCCTGTTACGGGACCCAGAGATTACACGAGGCATGACTCAGCCACACACGCACCGCAGTGAACAGAGAAGGCAAATACACAAACATCTCAATAGTTATCTTTGGTGTTGGACTAAAATGATTTCTTGTCTCTATCCTTTTTCCCCCTATATTCCAAATTTTCTAGAATGAGCAGGATACTTTTATTGAAAAGTATGAGTCATAAAAATAAGAGGAAGAAATGACTGAGGTTCCCTAAAACAAAGGATGGTTGTCTGAGTGCCGGTTCCCAGGTGCGGTGGGGGGACCCCCACTCCTGAGGGGCTTTCCGGGGCAGCAAGGTTAATACGATTGTCATATTTCATAAGGACAAATTTTCTGCCTTCTTGCTCTCGTTCTCTCACGAGTGTTCACTGGAATTTTCTAGAGGATACTGGACATCTATCTCCCCAACAGACTGAGAGCAGGAGACAGGAGAACCCAGCTCTAGGCAGACATTAAAGAGACTGCAAATGGAAAACAGTGCCCCTCTTCATGTCATCTTTCCTTTAGAAACTTCTTAAAAATGGTATTTGGTTATATTAACAACTAATGGGTTTATATTACTATTTTTAAATGAATTAATAAATTTTTTTAAAATGTCTTAGTTTTCCATTTAATATAGCAAATATCAATAGATAAAATCCACATCAACAAAAACTCTTTGGGCTTCTAATTTTTAAGAAGTCTAGACACCAAGAAGTTTGAGGACACATTCAAGGGGCCAATGGAGCCAGAGAAGCTTCCCAGGGTCTCCTGCCCTGCCACGCAGAGGCTGGGCCCTTGGCCCGTCGCTACCCCCATCCGGGACGGCCACTCGCACACAGGGTCCTCAGCTGTCCACACATGTAACAACCAAGTTTACGTTCCTTATTTTCTGGCAACTCTTATCCATCTCTCTCGAACTCAGTGCAACCTGACCCTCACGCATACCTGAGGCCTGGGAGGGACGAGAGAGCCCACAGACCTCAGGGTCTGTGGCATTTCTGCTCCCGCACCTCCAGCCTGGACCTGGCCTCCTGCCCACACACGACACTTGGGTATAAGCAGTGGCGTAGGGCGACAGCTGCTGTTACACACCTGGGAAAGGAGGGGCCTCTGAGAACCCCGCCTGGCCTCCCAGTCACTCACCTACGGGTCTCGGTTCTGTGGCTCGTCCGTATTTGACACAAAGCCAAAAGCAACCACTCTGGGGACGGTCTCCCTCCCCAGAGACTCAAGCAGAAAACCCGAGTTTAGGCTGGAGAAAGGCGGGCCTCACCTCCGGCATGATTTCGATCTTCTCATAGCGCCGCTTGAAGGGCAGGGCCAGGACCTCGGCCCGCCGGTAGGCCATGGCGGGCGGCTGGCAGTCGACCATCAGGTCCAGCCGGTGGGACTGCGCGGGGGGTGGCTGCGTGTACTGCTCCGGACAGACCACGTGCAGGGGCTGCGGGCCAGCGGGCCGGGGGTGGAGGGAGGCCGTGAGCCGGGCAGCCCATCCCGAGGGCCCCTGAATCCTCATCCTCCCAGACCCAGGTCAGCAGTGGGCAGGGAGGGGGCACAGCTGGGGAAGGAGGGACAAACATTCCGGGGCCAAGCCCGAGGTGCCTGCCCTGTAGACCCGTGAGGGATTCACTGCCCCAGCCCGGGTGTGTTCACGGCTCTGCAATTACGGTGACATCCCCGGGGCGAGTCTGCACAGCCCCCCGGCCCCGGAGGGGGCTCCCTGCCTCGCCCTCACTGACCCAGGCGCCCCCTGCCACCGCCCCACCGCAGCGGTCCCAGCTCCCCCCGAGGGTGATGACCAGCCCGGCCTTTCATGCCCCGCTCCCCTCCCCCTCCACACTCTCGGGGGCAGGTATGAGCGACGCCCCCTCCACCTGACGCTTCCCCGGTCTGCTGCTCCCCTTTCTCTGGGGGCGCTGGCGGCCCCGTGGGCCGGTCGGCGAGGCTCGGGGAAGCTGCCTCCCGCCACCCTGTCTGCTTCTAGAATGGTGTTTTCGGTGGGGAGGGGGTCATTCTGCCTGTTCTGGACAGACCTGGTCCTCATCAATACACTGCGAATGCTTTTCTCTCCTTCCGCTTTGGATTTTGCCAGAAGGGAGACCTCTATCCGGGTGCAAAGCCCCCTCCTTTGGGGGGAACCAGCGCGGGTCCGAGCTCTGCAGAGGCCTGTGGACCAAGGCGGGGGGAAACGCACAGGGACCCCACCGCTCACACGGCCACGCCACCGGCAGCGGGGACAGGGCCGCAGGGACGCCGGCACGGTTCCTTCATTACCTGCACGGTTCCTTCATTACCTGCACGGTTCCTTCATTACCTGCACTTCTTTAAGCAGCTTCGACACCTGGATGAAATTGAGTCGTGTATCGATGGGGCAGTAGATGCACTTCATGGCCAAGGGCTGGTAGGGGGCCAGCGCCTCCAGGTAGGAGAAGTCAGGTTCTGGGTGGGCACAAAAAAGAACACTTGGAATGGAGGCAGCAGAGGAGCGCCGGGGAGGCGGCCGGCGTGGTCAAGGGGCTGTTTACCAACCAGGGGAGGGGAGGAGGGCGGCACTGGATGCCGCGGGGCAGGTGTGGGCGTGGAGGCACGGCTGAGAGCTCTGCGCCGTCAACATGGAGACAGGTAAGATGAACAGGGGGATGGGCCAATAAATGGGGAGCGAAGGCTCTTTTTTGCAACTAAATGCCAACTAACAGAAGTAAATGCAACAATGAAATGAAAAAAACATCACCAGTTGGCAACCATCACAGTTATTCAGACCAGAATCATCAACAGATGCTAAAAAAAATTACATAAAAAATCTGGGGACAACCAGGATACGTACACTCCCCCCTTGCCCACTCTTGACACTGATAAAATACCAAACAGTGACTTCACGGTGCAGAAATCTGGCACAGACCCCGTGAGTCAAGTGTTCAAAGTTCATGCCAGGGTATGGGGCGAATCCCATGCCTCCTACCCGACAGGACCGCCTGGAAGAGAAAGGACCCTGACCCGTGCCAGCAAAACGCTCCTGCCGAGATGGCTCCCATCAGCCAGGCCCAGCGCCTCACTCCCGGAGCCGCCCGGACGCACGGTGGAAGGCGCGGCCCGAGGAGGCCGCCCGCCTGGGGCCCGAACGGCTCCTCCTCCGGTGTGACTTAGGTTCCCCGCAGCCCGGACCCCGCGAGGACTCCACTCCTTACAGCGTGCAGTACAGCGCGCAGGCTCGTACTCACCTGTCCCGCTAACTTACCCGGTGTACTCAGGGTCACTCACAGAGCTTGTGGAGTTTAAAACCCCCCCTCTCCAGGGGACCCCGTTTCTCTAAGAATATCCAGAAACCCCAAATGAGGCAAGCACGGGCTGCCTGGGAGGATGCCCACTTGCTTTTTGTGTGTACTGGGTGAGCCGCAACGTCTGAGGTCGTAACACATGGGAAAAGGCGGCCCCAAACTTACATCTGGCGACAGCAGACATCATAAATGACATGACTTCTGTTCTAGAAGCCCAACAAACCCGTTAACATTTAAATTCACTAACTAGAGTTGTTACAATCACACAGCCTTTGATTTCTTAACGGGCTAAGGGAACATTTATACGATAGCAAACACTTCTTTCTGTGTATACGTTAAAACTGCACCGCTTCGAATCAGAGTCAACATCTCAGAATAGGAGAGGCCACCCTTAGCCCTTCTACAGACAATGTTCTCCAGACTGCCTCCTGCTTAGGAGCAAAACATGGCACCGGGGAGGTTCTGCTGTCGGTAATCAATATCTTACGGCCCGACTTCTCTGCCTTTGGCCCAAAGGAGGCCTGGAAAAGTGAACAGCAGCATCTGACGGCACTTTCTGCGAGGCCTTGGTGTTAGCAGGAGCCATCCGGGCACTCACAGCTGGGCCATGCTCTTTCCCTGCTGCACACGGACAAGACCTCACAGAACAACAGACCAGATACCGCCACTTGGCCACCATTAAAGATCAAGATAAAAATAAGACCCCTCGTAATCAACACAAAACCACAACACTGTCCAAACCACAAATGAGCAAACATTACCCTACGCGGGCTCCGTTCTTCCTGCCTTCTAGATGGCAATTAGGATACTCTGTCACAGAGCTACTCCCTCCCACTTCCTGACACCCAGTCCAGAGCAACGTCCCACATCTGTGAGCCCTCTTCAGAGTCACCACACACAAGCCCAAATACACAAGAAGTTCTTACCATGCTGAGCAGCTCACGCTGCCCCATGGCGCGTGCTGTCCCTCACTGTGCTGAGGTGACCAACCCCCCTCTGTTCAGCTCCTGCTGTGCTCCTGGCTGGAGGGCACTGGTGCTCCTCATAAACGGGCTGAGCACAGGGACGGGCCCCAGAGCCCCTGACCCTGAAGCTCCGGCATAACGAGGACTCCACTCTGTCACTCAAGTCTTAAAGTAAATAGAAAACTCTAGGAAGGCAACTGGCGGTATTCTCAACAGCCTTTATGCGCCAGATAGACGAAATGCTTTCTTACAGCACTTCCCTAACTGCACAGGGCTGCTCAAGGAGGGAGCCAGCGATGACCCCACTTCACAAGGAGGAAAGTGCGGCTCAGAGGTGAGGGAGCTCGGCTTAGGTCACAGTAAACTGGCCAGATTTCAGATCAAGTATTTTTAACCTCACTGCCCATGACATTTCCAAAGCCCAAGTCTGTCTGAAGACCTTAAATTGATAAAATAATATAGTGATTAAGTAAAACCCCTACTTGCCTTCATTCAAGGATGTTATACTCTGAGGAGCTCATCTCCAGAAAGAGCTGCATGCCAGGGTCAACTACAACCCCCGGAGAAAAGTCCACCTCAGGAAATAATTCCTGATGGGTCAGACAAACTGGTTACTAGGGTGGCCACAGTTCTTGAGACAGCTTACAAAATCCTACCAAAAGCAGTTCAGTAGAAATCTGCCTCAGGGAAAAACCTACAGCGACAGACCCGGACGCTCTGCCTGGCATACCTACCGGAAGCGTGTTTTGCTTTGCCCTTGCTGCCCCTGTGGCTCCTTCCTCCTGGGGCTTGCAGGACAGAGTGCTGGTCACATGGTTTCTTGTAAACCTCTTCCCGGGGCCTCCGCCTGCCTAGTGCACTCAGAGCTGGACCCCGTGCCAAGGACAGCGGGAGGCTGCTTTGCTCACCTGTGAATATGACTGTGTTGAGACTGGATTTCCCCCAGAGCTCCATGAAATGGACCACGTCCCCAAACCGGAGGGAAGGGTGGCCCGTGAACACCACGCACGGCTGCCTGAAATCATTGCTGAAGTCGCCGTGGATGCTGGGGTAGTGCTTCAGCTTGTTGGTCTGAATGAGCTAGAAAACATCAGAAGGCAAATGAAGAGACATTAGCCCGCCTACGCAGAAGGAGGGTGAGAAGAAGAAATTAAAAATACAAAAGAATCTTATTAAAATTAGCCAAAGATCGAATTTCCCCTACGATGTGACTTTCTGAACAGATGGGCCCTTTTGGTGACATCAACATACTCAACACTGACGCATTCAGGTCGCCGGCCTGCTCCGTCTAACTCTCCCTTTAGAGCTTCCTGATGCCCTGGGCCCCGGCCCAGGAGTCCCCAGGACCAGTTCCTGTTTAGCATACAAGTGACCTTCCCCAAAGGTGTGAACCGCCAAGTCTTGTCAACAGTGGAGCCTCACACAGGAAAAACTGTTGACCAGCGCTGGACCTCCTCTTAAGAAGTCAGTTGTAGATTATGTGGCAACTTAATGAAGATGAAAGCTAACATGGCTTTCAGAAATTGGGGAGATGTTATGTCCACATGACAGAGAGCTATGGTAAGAAACACGTCACGCAAAGCCTCACTCTGGTCTCAAAATTGTATGTTTTGAACCCTTCCAGCACAAAATGTGAAATAACTCTCCCAGCATCAGGCCTGACCCAAGGCAACGCCACACTCAGTTACAGCCGCAGACAGCACAGACGGTCCTGCCGATTCAACCCCGCCCCTCTCCCCACCTCTGGCACCAGAAGGTTGGATGACAAACATCCAGATTTCAGAGACCTAACTATCAACTAGGCCACAGGGAGTATCAGATGCTGAGATGCTGTTTAATAGATAAAGAAAGGGTCGGTGACAAGCTTAATCCAGAAGGAACCCAAATGCCTAAGAGGGGAGCCCCGTCAACAACTCCAAGTCCAAATGAAGTCACCCCAATAGCAAGAACATGGCCAGAATGGGACAGTTCCCAGATGGAAGCCAGACTCTCTTCACTTTAAAGATGAAATCTTAAATTCAGAGATGGCTTTTGTTAGCAAGAGTGCAGGGCTAGCCCAGAGAGCATAACTAGGTGTCACATGCTTGACCGGAACGTATGTGCAAAGGAAAGCCGGGCAAACTCTGAACTCCCACTTGGCTTCCGAGTTACATACAAATAAAACCGACCTGCTCTGTGTAACTGGCCTGGACGAAACCATTACTTGCCCGAGTTAAATGTATGAGTGGCAAAGAGACTAGGTCTACTGTGTCCATAGCTGTCAAGGAGATGAACGGGCTCCTAAGAAGAGCAGTAGGTCTTTCACATAACTGAAGGCACGTTTTAGGCATGACCTCCAGCTCCTGCAGCTCTCCTGATCAGTGCATTGAAACTAAGATAAATTCATCTCTTGTTCTGCCAACTAGATCTATGCTCCCAGCTGACTTCCTATGTTTGACCATTGAGAATTCCATCTGCACTGATTTAAGCTCCAAACAGTACAGGCAATGAAGCTGCAGCAGAAGAATTCTTTTCTTTATTAGTACCATGGGCAGAATTGTAATATCTCTTAATATCTCAATTATTTTTCTAGCATCAATTTCACTGTGGTAGTAGCACAGCCTGCAAAAACCCTGGCTGCTATGATGGATGGAGTATGAGGACTGAAAAATCACTTCCTTAAAATGTTCCACTTGAAATTCTGGTTCATAAATGGTCTGTCCTTTGGACTAGGGAAACAGTAGTCAAATTTAAGATAATTAGCAGGATATTCATTGCAATTTTCTCTATGAGTCAAATTTTAAGGTAAATAAATCAATTAAGTCTCTATACACACACATCTCTCTGGCTTGATGAAATTTTTACAAACTGGAAACTTCCATGTTCGTACATACACACCAAGACATGGCATTCCCAGCTCCTCAAAGACCCCTTTTCTACTTGCAGGTTACCACTGTTCAACACCCCTACCTCCAGGATAACCCCAGCTTACTCTTGATACCATAGATGAGATTTGTGTGTTTCTGAACTTTAATATAAAAAAAAAACAACAGCGTATCTATCCTCTATCTGGCTTCTTTCATTCACATTATGTCTGTCAAAGTTGTTATATTGTTGCATATTAAGTGCCGTTCATTCATTCTCACTGATGGAAGGTATTCCAATGTGTGAATATACAACAAATCCCTTATGCTACTGCAGGCATTTGAGTAGTTTCAGTACTATTACCAATTGTGCTCTGAAGATTTTTGTCTTTTGATGACATACTACTTATTTCTGTTCAGTATATGTTTCAGGAACAAAACTGCTGAGGTGGAAAAGTATGTTATATCTTCAGCATTAGTAGATAAGTGGTTATGCCAATTTTAACATCCTTTTTAAAAAATATAACAAAAAATTGGGAGTTCGGAATATAACAAAAAACTATTGTCCTATAGTAAGAGACTGGCTAAGTACATTACAGGATGTTCATATGACAAGCGATGGAATACTAAGCAACAATAATAAGGATATGAGGCATCTAGAAAAATGTCCATGACACACTGGTGAAAAAAACATTGGAAACAAAATTAGGTGCACAGCTACATAAAAATGCTTGTCAGTTCTCTAAGGGAGGAGGAATGGTTCTTTTTTTTAAACTGAGGTATAACTGACATATTACAGGCATACACTGTTTTACTGTGTTTCACTTTACTGAGCTTTTGCATATATTGTGTTTTTCATAAACTGGAGTTTTGTGGTAGCTGCATTAAGCAAGTCTATTGGTGTCACTGTTCAACAGCATTTGCTCACTTTATGTCTCTGTGTCACATTTTGGTAATTTTTGCAGTATTCCAAACTTTCATATTGTATTTTTTTTTACAATGATCTGTGATTGGTGAATATAACTTGCTGAAAGCTCAGATGATGGTTAGCATTTTTTAGCCATAAAGTATTTTTTAATTAAGATTGTTTTTTAGACATAATGCTATTGCACATTTATAGACTATGGTATAGTGTAAACATAGCTATTATATGCACTGGGAAACCAAAAATTCATCTGACTCAGTTACTGCAGTATTTGCTTTGTTGAGGTGGTCAGAACTGAACCTGCAATCTCTCTGCCTGTGTATTAGCTGCAGACGTACAACATAATGATTTGATGTTTGTATGTATTGCAAAAAATTCACAGTAAGTCTAGTTAACATCTGTCACCACAGACGGCTACAAATTTTTCTGTATGAGAACTTTTAAGGTCTACTCTCTTAGCAACTTTTCAACATGCAATACAGTATTACTGACTATACTCACCACCTGTACATTACACCTCCATGATTATTTATTTTTTAACTGGAAGTTTGTTCCTTTTGATCCTCTATTTTTAAAACTGAAATGTTATTATTTTCATCATTAAAACTTTACATTTATGATCAACATAACTAACTCGAGAAGAGAGCTGGACAACAAAAAAATCTGTTACACAACAAAGTTAATAGTGGATATTGGATAAAATTCCTCACCCAGTCAGTAGAACAGAGGTAGGTTATGAACTGTATGAAAATACTAGTAATAGAATGTATTAATAAAAAGAGAAAGTAAAAAATCTTGCATTAGAGTGTTTCACTGTCACCTCCCATGGGAAACAAATAGAACTGCTGTTTCCTTCCACATCCATTTATTTATAATTCTTTCTTGCTCTGCCCCAGTAATTCCATTTTCTTACCTCTGCATGAGGAAAAGGTGGTTCTGGGAGATAAACCTTTGTCTGTTTATTGTGACAGAGCCTTTGAGGAAAAACAGATCTGCAGGTTAGGTAGAGCACACAGGGCCATTTGCTGCCACCTAGTGGTAGCAGTGCAAACACTAAATAATACAATATATTAAAATTTTTTCTATGAATAAAAGCCAGCATCTACAGAAGATTTAGGACATAAGTCTCTTGTGAGCATTTCTCAACCTTTACAATTCTTCCATACATTATTTATTAAAAAATATGCTTGCTTTCTGGAATAATTTTATATTTATAGAAAAGTTGTGGAGGCATTACAGAGGGTATATATCCTTCACCCAGTGTCCTGATTAACACTGTACATAACTGTGATACATTTGTTAAAGTAAGAAATTAACACTTGTACGTTACAATTACCTAAAGTCCAGACTTTATTCAGATTTCCCCAGTTTTTCCACTAATGTCCTTTTTTCTGTTCCAGGAACCAATCCAGGACACCATAATGCACTGTGATCAGTTTTGAGAAGGTGATACACCTTTTTCAGAGACACAACCTTCTGTTTTGCACACTCACTAAGCAGCATCAATACTTCAAACTAGACAGTAACGAAGTATCTTGATCTAGACACACTGTGAATGCTTTAAGTAGTCTGTTTTCTTGCCAGATGACATTTAAAATATGTAGATGTCTGGATAAAGCAAATGCGGCAAAAAGTTAACAATTGATAAATCAAGCAAGGTACACGGGTACTCTGTAAGTTTGATGTTTTTGAAAGTTGGAAAAAATGTATGTAGTGGTGTATGTCTCTTGGAGCCCACTTCTGAGAGTTCCACCGAAGTAGTAGTGAAAGCATTTCAACAGTTCTAACAGATACCACTTCTGGGAAAGTAGTTCAGGACTTCAGGGCTTGGCTTTTCACTAATATAATGCATTATTTAATTTTTCCTACCCTTAGTTTTCTTTAACCTTGTTTTGAAAAACATCACTTCATATCCTTTTTGGAGGAAGATGTAAATATGGAAGCAAGATACTTTTGGAGGGTTACTTTAGAATATCTAAACAGGCACCAGCATAGTTTGCATTTCAAAACTCAGGAAGAGACAAATCTAAGGGCTTAATTTAAAAATTACTTAGACTGTTGCAAAGGATGTTCTGGTACATTAATAAGCATCAATACATAAAACTAAAATATTTCTGTCAAAAAAAATATTAAAACCTAAATGTATGTTTTTTCCTGGACTGGATCCTGGAACAGACAATAGACATGAATGGAAAAACTCATGCAATCTGAATAAAGATTGGAGTTCAGCTAAGAATAATGTTTAATCGTTCATTTCTTAGTTCTGATATGAGTACGGCCACAAATGATGTGAACATTAGGAGAGACTATGCAGAATGTACATAGGGGCTCTCTGTACTGTCTTTACACTTTTCTGTAAATCTAAAATTAGTTTAAAGTAACAACTTATTATTTAAAAAAGCAAAATCAAAGATAAAATGCAGAAAGTGTCATGTGAAAAAAATGTTTGCAGAAATACCACAGAGAGTAGAGTTCAAGTAAATAGATAAGAAAAGCATAATATCTCTAAAAAGTAAATGCACAAAAAGGTAATAATTTACAGAAGACAAAAATCTTTTGGAAAGCAATTTAGATTTGTATAATGAACATTAAAATATATTTATAACCACTTGTTCCAGTAATTCCACTTTTAGTAATTTACCTAAAGCAAAAGTTGTAGCCATAGATACATAGAATGATATTCACTGAAGATTTATTACTCAAAGGAGAAAAACTGGGAAAAGCCTGTCTGTCCAATAAGACAACGGTTAAATGAATTATGCTATATACAAATGATGTCCGAATGATGTAATAATGCACTCATGCAAACATTACGTTCTCAAAGATTTTATAAGGCTCTAACATTAAAATTTTAAAAAACAGGACCGAAAATCAAATATTCAGCATGTTCCCTATAGAGAAAGAAGAAACCCCTCAGAGGGCTAACAGTGATATTATTTCTGGGTAGTGGGCTTATCAGTTCAGTTTTTTTCTACTGCTTTTTGTAACTTATTTATTTGCACACTAAACGTGTATTAGCTGGCCCTGGGAGCTCTCTTTCTCAGTATTTTTACTGGGGCTCTAGGCAAGGAAACTCAGAACATGCTGATTACACGATCAAATGATGCTCAGGGTACGCTACTAATCATTCCACACTACCTTCCTTTGTTTTGGGGGAGAAAAGACCCACTGCAAAGGCTACAATTCAGTGGGTACCAATCAAAGTGACAGTCTTGCGAACAAACATGAGTAATATGCACACGGGCTGGAGAAGCCTGTCTGAATCTAGGTACAGGAAGACTGACCTTGACCATAACTAATAGGGGAGGAAAGTATGTCCTTAAAAAGGGTGGTGGTGATGGGGATGGCATGTGGGATGTTATGACAGAATGACATGCAATCCTTTTTAAGTGGAAACTTAGTAGCCCACTGTGTCCCTGAGACAAGCACACTACCAAAAGGGATTAAACACCCTACGTGTGTGTCCTGCCTGAATATCTGGGCACACCATTCTAAGGCACTGCTGGGGCTACTGGAAAAGCTATTTCCCCTTCCTTTTTCTAGCCAGGTGACTTAAACTTGCACCTACACAATCCTAAAAGGGTTCACTGACTTCATGCTGTTTGATAATTTATCCACCCTAGGATTTGATCAATTTCCTGCTGTAATAAAGCTTAGTCATATCAAATATCATATTACTGAAATGAAAAATCTAAGCTAGTTTTTCTTATCAGAGTTGGTATTATAAATTTTAGACAATATCAGCTTGGGCTTTAAAATCTTTTAGCTTTTAGAATGTAACTTTACTTTGTAACAGGCAGAGTAGAAGAAGGATGGATAGTTACTGATTTTGAAAGTGTTGGCTAAGCAATATCTTTGCTTTTTGACTTCGCCTCCCTTGGTTACTTCTACACGTTAGCGACATAGCAGATTTGGCTTTCATTAGTACAAGCTTCACATCACTGACATGGGAAAACACACTGAAAGTTTCAGAGTAAGTAACATGAAAAAAACCCAGCATTATTTCTATTCTGTAAAATGGCTTTTTATTTTTAAAATTCCTTTTCTCACTGCTTGAATGTTCTGAATCACAGAGAAGAACACAGACATACCACTCAGCAAAAATCTGGGAGAACTCCAGGGAACTGTTCGCCACAGGGGAGATGAAGTAGAAGGGGATGCTGGAGAGGCCGGCCGAGTCGATGTATTGGTACAGACATTCCAGGAGGTCGTAGATCACTCCAGAAGGGTAGCAGGGCACCAACACATTCCCGCCATTACGGATGGTCAGCGCTAGAAAAGTTGAAGCCAGAGGGAAAATGTTAGTATCCAAACACAGTTAAAAAGGTAGAATGGAACTTCTGAAATTATATTTGGGTATTTTTTTCCCACTTCTATTCATACAAGTCATTTCACACGTATAATGATCTGCTGCTTTTGAAGAACAGCAGGGAAGCAGGGGAGTTCAGGGCCTGACAATCAGCTGAGATCTTGGTGGAAGCCTCACCCCTGGGAACAGGTGCGCAATTAAGGGCTTGGGCTGAAAGGTCACTGAGGGCAGCCGAGCTGCAGGACAGGCTCTCCTGCTCTTCTGTTTTCAGGTCCTGCTCACAGCTTCCCTGCATTTGTCTCTGATCGGTCTCTGGCCACAGCGGAATGACCTACCAGGAAACAGGCCAAGTTCCTCCATTGGACTCATTTTAGTGGCATTTTCTTCCATTAATGTTTTGTAAGAAAATCCTCCATACTTTCAATACTTAACATAAATGATCAAATGAGGAGTTGCACCTTCTGGGTATATTCGTATTCGAAGGTGTAAAACTGGCTTTAAAAAAAAGTCAAAGCCCTCTTAAGTTTATTTCTGTTTGGTTTCCAAACCAAATGAAACAGCAGCTTTTGGTACAGAATTGAAGTCTCTGGAGCCTTCTATGGTCCCCCATTCCCAGCTCTGACGTACAGGTTCTCCTAGGTGCTGCACCTGAGCACCGGCAGACTGGCTCTTAGTGAGGGTGGCATTGTGGAAAAAGAAAACATCTGTGGTCAGGGCACAGGAGGCCTGGCTCCAGTCCCGCCTTTGCCCAGCGACGGGATATCAGGGGCCACTACGGCCTTGCTGGCGTCAGCTTCCTCCTCACTGAGGCGAGGAGTAAACCAGATCAGTGGACTTCAAGCTTTAGTTGGTGTGAAGACGGCCAAGGGACAGTCTACTGGGTCTCTCCTCTCCCTAGAGAGCCTGACCGACTAAACTGCGGTAGGACCCCAAATCAATCAATCAATCAATCAATCAATCAATCAATCAATCAATTATTTACTTACTTACTTATTTATTTTTAGGAGAGCAAGGCAGAGACTTTTTTTAAGAGAGAAAGCAAGAGGACAGAGCTCCTGGCTCAGGCCAGGAGGGGACAAGAGAGCCCCCAAATTTGCATTTTTAATAAGTGACCTCATCAATCTTGAGGCAGGTGGTTAGTGGATTCCACTTTGAGAAACAGTGGATCAGACATATGGTTCCTTTCAGACCTAAAGCCCCTTGAGTCTATGATTCTAGATTATAAACAAAGATTCTATAAGACTGGTCCAATAATTTTTCCAAGTTAAGAGTAAATTACTTTTGGCTTAATATCAGCAAAGAACAAAAAAAGACTATGATTATTGACAAGGGCAAGTGAAATTTCAAAGAATAGTGCCTTCCATTAAGTAAAAGATGACAAACAATTCTCCCCCCTGGAGCAGAGGTGACATCACTTACAGTTCCTAGGGGTGAAGGGCCTGAGCTCAGTAACTCCTCCTTGGTGACTGTTGCAGATGAATGTTTGTGTCCCCCTAAAATTCACACATTGAAGCCCTAACCCCCAATGTGATGGTATTGGTGGGGTGGGGGGAGGTCCTTTGGAGGTAACTGGGTGGATGAGGCCATGATGGCATTACAGGCAGAGCTCATTTTATTATGCTTTGCAGACACTGGTTTTTTTTTTTTTTACAAATTGAAGGTGTTTGGCAACTGTGCATGAAGCAAGTCTACCAGAACCATTTTTCCAACAGCATTTGCTCACTTGTGTCTCTGTGTCACATTTAGTAACTCTTGCAATATTTTAAGCTTTTCCATATTATTACATTTGTTATGGTGACCTGTGACCAGTGATCTTTGATATTGTAACTGCTTTGGGACACGATGCACCAAGGCAAATAATTGATAAATGATGTGTATAAGCTGACTGCTCCACTGATTGGCTGTTCCCCCATCTCTCCCTCTCCTCAGGCCTTCCTATTCCCTGGGACAGAATGATACTAAAATTAGGCCAATTAATAAGCCTATAATGGCCTCTAAGTGTTCAAGTCAAAGGAAGAGTCAAATCTCTCACTTTAAATCTAAAGCTAGAAATTATTAAGCTTAGCAAGGAAGGCATGTTGACAAAATAGGCCAAAAGCCAGGCCTCTTGCACCAAACAGTCAGCCAAGTTGTGAAAGCAAAGGAAACATTCTTGAAGGAAGTGAAAAATGCTGCTCCAGGGAACACATGAATGATCAGAAAGCAAAACAGCCTCACTGCTGACATGGAGAAAGTGTGAGCAGTCTGGACAGAAGGTCAAACCAGCCACAACGTTCCCCGAAGCCAAAGGCTCGTCCAGAGCAGGGCCCTGACTCTCTTCAGTTCTGTGGAGGCTGAGAGGGGGGAGGAGGCTGCAGAAGGAAGGTCTGAAGCAAGCAAAGGTTGGTCCATGAGGATGAAGGAAAGAAGCCGTCTCCATAACAGAGAAGTGCAGGTGATGCACAGGTGCCGATGCGGAAGCTGCAGCGAGTTATCCAGAAGGTCTAGCTGAGATCACTCATGAAGGTGGCTGCACTAAACAACAGATTTTCAATGTAGATGAAACGGCCTTCTAGTGGAAGGAGGGGCCATCTAGGACTTTCACAGGTAGAGAGAAGTCAATGCCTGGCTTCAAAGCTTCAAAGGACAGGCTGACTCGCTTGGTAGGAGCTAATGCGGCTGGTGACTTGAAGATGAAGCCCGTGCTCATTTACCATTCTGAAAATCCAAGGGCCCTTAAGAACTATGGCAAATCCCTGCCTGTGCTCTAGAAATGGAACAACAAAGCCTGGATGAAACTCATCTGCTTACAACATGGTTTACTGAACATTTTAAGCCCACTGCTGAGATCTACTGCCCAGAAAAATAGATGCTTTAAAAGATTACCGCTCATTGACAATGCACCTGGTCACCAAGTGCTCTGATGGAGACGTGCAATGAGATTCATGCTGTTTGCATGCCTGCTGACACAACGTCTTTTCTGCAGCTCATGGATCAAGGAGTCATTTTAGCTTTCAAGTCTTATTGAAGATGTACATTTCATAAGGCTATAGCTCCCATAGATAGTGATTCCGCTGATGAATCTGGGCAAAGTCAACTGAAAACCTTCTGGGAAGGATTCATTATTCCATATGCCATTTAGAACATTTGTAATTTGTGGGAAGAGGTCAAAGGTCAACATTAACAGGAGTTTAAGAGAAGTTGATTCCAACCCTACTGGATGACTTTGAGGGGTTCAAGACATCAGTGGGGGAAGTCACTGCTGATGTGGGGGAAAAAGCATGAGAACTGCATGCAGTTAGAAGTGGGGGCTAGAGGTGGGACTGAGCTACTGCATCTCAGGATCAAACTTGAACAGAGGAGGGTTTGCTTCCTATGGATGAGCAGGAAAAGTGGTGTCTTGAGATGGAATCTGTTCCTGGTGAAGATGCTGGGAAGATGGTTGAAATGACAACAAAAGATTTAGGACATTATATAAACTTGGATGATAAAGCAGTGGCAGGGCCTGAGAGGACTGACTCCAATTTTGACGGAAGCTTTACTGTGGGAAAAATGCCTTCAAACAGCATCACCTGCTACAGAGAACTCATTCTTGAAGAGTCAACTGATTTGGCAAACTTTACTGTTGTTTTATTTTTAGAAAATTGCCAGACACCCCAACCTTCAGCAGCCATCACTCTGATCAGTCAGCAGCCTCAGCACTGAACCGAGACCCTCCACTAGCCATGAGATTATGATGCGCTGAAAGCTTACTTGACGGTTAGCATTTATTTTTAGTAGTAAGAACTTTTAAATTAAGGTATGTACATTGTTTTTTAAGACATATTAATGCTACTGCACACTTAATGGACTATGGTATGATATAAACAAAACTTTTATATGCACTGGGAAACTAAAAATTCATCTGATTTGCTTTGTTGTGGTACTTGCTTTATTGCAGTGGCCTGGAACCGAGTGTGCAGTGACTCTGGTCTCTCCACAGTGCCCGCATAAAATGAGTAAGAGACTCCAGTGTGGCTTCTCTCTGCTACCTGAGGACGTGCAGTAAGAAGGTGGCCGTTCACAATCCAGGAAGAGGGCCCTCACCAGTACCCAACCATGCTGGTAACCTGATCTCAGAATTCCCATCCTCCAGCTATGAGAAATAAATGTTGTTTAAGTCACCCAGTCTAGGGTATTTTGTAACAGCAGCCCAAGCTAAGATAGTAATGTACACTCTTCTATAAGAGAGGCGGGACTTCTAGATTTTACTGACAGTTATATCCAAAGAAACATCCATTTCTTCCAGCTGGCAAACACCCTACAAGTCTCTCAAGTTAGTCTTCTCCAAAAGAAGAAAAAACATCAACCAATTATTGGTGGGGCAAAACAATACCTGTTTGGTTTATCAGTGTTGTGAATTGGAAGTATTAACAGTCTTTTCTGTGTTATTTGAAAGGCAAAGATGTGATTCTCCCCTTCTTTGAAAACTGCTATCTGGTAAGAATCCCCACTACACCCCCAAATCCCACCAAAATGCAAGAAGAGTAAGAATTTTCTATATAAATTAAGTGGGAGAATTTTGAGCACTTGTTGTATAAACTGCTGAAAATTTGAATTCCATGTTAGAACAACCATTCTCACTGTATCTTCAGCTCTAAGTTGCTTAAGAATTGCTTTTATTGAGAACAGGAGAGCTTTGAAGGATGGGCAGAAAGGGTGGGAGTAACTAGGAGAAAAGGCAGGTGGGGAATGTGAGGAGAAGGGGCAAATGGAAAAACACATTTACATCATTTCATCCCATCCCATTCAGAATTTCAGTTGGATACATACCCAGGTTGCTGCAGAACTCTCCCACCATGCCATCTGGGTTTGCAGTGGGAATCTGGGTAAGGCCTGTCAGAATGAGAACATCGCTGTTTTTGAGAGAAGCTTGGTCCATAGGCTGAAAAACCACAGAGAAGTAAGGTCAGTAATTTAAAAAAGAATGCTATCCACAGGTAGTAATGGTGTAAGAAAATATAGCCATTGCTCTTTCTGTGTCAAACTCATTGCCAAGTCCTCTTACTTCCTCTAATGAAAAGCCAGTCATTCAAAATATATCCCATGCTCATGGATAGGAAGAATTAATATTATCAAAATGGCCATTCTGCTCAAAGCAATGTAAAGACTCAATGCAATCTCCATCAAAATACTAATGGCATTTTTCAATGAACTAGAACAAAGAACCCTAAAATTTGTATCGAATCACAAAAGACTCCAAATAGCCAAAGCAATCTTGAGAAAGGAGAACAAAGCTGAGGGTATCATGCTCCCTGATTTCAAGCTATACTGCAAAGCTACAGTGATGAAAGCAGTATGACACTGGCATAAGAAAGACCCATAGATCAATGGAACAGAACAGAGAGCCCAGAAACAAACATAAGCATATATGGTCAATTAATGTATGACAAAGGAGCCATGAATATGCAATGGGGAAAAGACAGCCTCTTCAATAACTGGTGTTGGAAAACTGGACAGCTACAAGCAAGAGAATAAAACTGGATTACTGTCTACTCCTTACACAATAGTAAACTCGAAATGGATCAAAGACCTAAAGGGAAGACATGAAACCCTAAAACTCTTAGAATAAAACATAGGCAAAAATCTCTTCAACATAATCATGAGCAAATTTTTCCCTGAACATCTTCTTAGGCAAGGGAAACAAAATGATCAAGTGGGACTACATCAAACTAAAAAGCTTCTGTACAGCAAAGGACACCATCAGCATGCAATAAGGCAACCTGCAGTAGGGGAGAATCTATTCATAAATGACTTATCTTATAAGGGGTTAACATCCAGGATATATGAAGAACTCATATGTTTCAACACCAAAAATCCAAAAAACCGTAATAAAAATTGGGCAGCGGACCTGCACACGCATTTCTTCAAAAAAGAAATACAGATGGCCAACATCGCTGGTCATCAGGGAAATGCAGATCAAAAACCACCTCTCACCAGTCACAATGGCCACTATCCAAAAGACAAGAAAGAACACGTGTTGGCGAGGATGTGGAGGAATGGGAACCCCCTACACTGGGGGAATGTCAACTGGTGCAGCCACTGTGGAAAGTAGTATGGAGGTTCCTTAAAAAACTAAAAATAGAAATACCACATGACCCAGCAATACCACTTCTGGGAATATACCCAAAGAAAACAAAGCCACTAATTCAAAAAGATATATGCACACCTATGTTCACCGCAGCCTTATTTACAACAGTAAAGGAATTGAAGCAACCCAAGTGCCCATCCTCAGAGGAGTGGAAAAGAAGATGCGGTGCATATACACAATGGAACACTACTCAGCCATAAAAAAGAAGGAAATCTTGCCATTTGCAGCAAGATGGATGGACCTAGAGGTTATCATGCTAAGTAAAATAATCCAGGCAGAGAAAGACAAATACCATATGATCTCACTTATATGTAGAATAGAAAAGTAAAACAAACAAACAAAAAATAGACCCACAAATATAGACAACAGACTGTTGGTCACTGAAGGGATGGGGCTGGGAGGATAGGTAAAACAGGTGAGTGGATAAAGAGGTACAGACTGCAAATTGTAAAGTAAGTCATAGGAATGGACATACAACATAGAGAATATAACCAATAATACTGTAATGTCTTGGTATGGTAATGGGGTAACTATATTTACCATGGTAAGCATCTAGTGTGTAATTACTGAGTCACTACACTATACATCGGAAACCAATACAGTATTGTTTATCAACTTGGGAGGGAGGAAGGGAGAAGGGAAGAAAAGAAAAGAAATTCTATCAACAACAACAAAAGTCTGTCACTGAGCAGTGGTTGCCCAAGAGGATAGGAACTGATGGGAGGAGGTATGAAGGAACTTACCAGAATGATAAAAAAGTTCTATGTCTTGACTAGTGTGGTAATCACATGATATGAAAATTCAGACTTGGACATTTAAGATCTTTGGATTTCACTATACATACATTTTAACTTAATGATGAGAAAGCATATTATCTCATTAAGAACACTTCCCTCTTTCAAAATGCTACCCTACACAGATCTTTGGTAGTTCTGAGGGCACGTCAGAATCACCTGGAGGTTCTGCTAAAACACGGATCGGGGGCCCCACCCCCAGATTCTCTGATTCAGCCTTGAGGTGGGCCTGAAAATCTGCATTTCGGAGATGCTCCTGGTGCTGGTCTGGGGATGACCACTCCTTGAGAACCACAGCCCTGTGTAACTGGCTTCTCAGAACAGCTCTGTGAAGTATATGAAATACGTGTACAGTATGAAAATACGGAAGCTGGGATGCGAAGAGCTGAGGTGATGCTCCCCACCTCAGTGGCAGAGGAGCCAGAAGGAACACTGGATTGGGAACCAGAAATGTAAAGCCTCCTTCCAACTCCATCACTAGTCACAGGACCTCAGCCAAGGCTCTGAGCTGGGTTTCTTATAAATATTATGTTGGAAAGCTCATGAATGTTTTCATTTTGTAACACAGCTTTTCCTCCATTTCAGGTAACTTACTCACTGGAACATCACAAGAAAAAACACCAGAAACATGATTTACTAAGGAGCCTCATCCTTCCTTTCTCTGTTTCACCTGGATTTCCCAATATGGAATAAAATGCCAAACAGCAGCACAGCAGAGACCATCTGCACTGTTACCTCCGAATACACTCATCTTTTGTGGACTTCCTTTAGCATTTTATGTAAGTGTGGATGTATGGGCTTATTATTATTATTTTTTATTTTGGTATCATTAATCTACAATTACAGAAAGAACATTATGTTTACTAGGTTCCCCCCTTCACCAAGTCCCCCCCACATACCCCATTACAGTCACTGTCCATCTGCGAGTAAGATGCTGTAAACTCACTACTTGTCTTCTCTGTGTTGCGCAGCCCT